GTTAATATGACTAGTTTGTATAATCAACAAAAAAAATAATTCTTAAAACGTTATTGTTGTTTATACATTAAATATATAACGATGCCTGAGATATGGTCTAACTTGACGATAATGAATAAAAAAATTAACTTAATTCAAATCAAATATCAGTTAAATATGCATTTAATTATTAATTACTTTTGTAAAACTATTTTCAAAATACATACAACAATTTTAATATCGCAGTTTTAGTGGAAAAGTAAAAGTTGTTCATAAACTTGTGCGGTTGAAGCAATTGAAAAGTCAATTGTGAAGCAAAGTGCGTAACGTAACTTGCGTATTACAGTACCAAAGAAACTCTTAGACGTGGCTGCGAGGATAAATAGCATGGAAATATACAGGAAATAAAAAAATATTATAAACGACTTACATTAAAATCTATTATGAAGGATTATATGAATTAAAAAAAGGGTTAAACATTGCAATAAATATTGATTTAAATTTTAAACCCTAAGTTTTAACCTTTATTTTAATGCCTAAATTTACCTCTTAATAAACAGATTTTATTTAAAATACTATAGTAAAAATCCTCTCAATAAAACATACGTAACAATAAAAAAGGTAACTATCCGTACAAATCTTCCAGACACAGTATTATTTCAATCTGGAGGCAATTTTTTTAAAGCCCAAAATCCGTCTATTATTAGGACTGATGAGACCATTAATAGGAGTTAGGAAACGGACTCGAAGCTGGACTTCCAACAGATATTGATGAGGAAGATTACGAACCAGTTAAAACTATGAGAGTTCTCTGAAGATTGATTCCACGGAGTACGGAGATAGTTTATTGAAGTGTACAAAGTTAACTGCTGTTAATAAATCGTAGTACAGTTTTCCTTGTAAAGCAATCTTCTTATAGGTTCCACTGATAAAACATATTTGTACGAAAACAAATAAGCCAATAATGTCCAATGAACAGTCAAAGTCATTTGCTAAATAGGATTGCATGGTATTAATAAACAATTGACAGAGTAACAAATATCCCCTTATAGGATTAGTGGGGAGCTTTTAGGTGATGCAGAATTAAATCCAGCTTAAAATCCAATAACCAAATGTATGTGCTGGGTATAATACTTGAATAATCCGTGTCCGAATATTCATCTCAATGCTGAAATCGATCATGGTTTTTCATCAAACAATCTGGGAGTTCCTGATTCTAGATTTTTTTGGGAACGTGATCCCATCTAACGTACTGTTTGCATCACTCGGATTCGGTTATTTGATTGATGGGGAGTTTTATTGCTAGCTGTTACAAAAAAGAAATATTCTTCCTCTAATACTGCAAATGGCTGATAAATTCTCAAATAAAACGTGTGGACAATGCGTCCACGTCATGACTGGTCACGTACGACCGAAATATAAGCGGGAACACGCTGACGTATGATCTAAATAAATAGCTACTGGAGTTATGGACTGGTGTTGGTACGTTTTACATGAATATAGCTGGAATGGATTCCATAATAGATACCAATATTCTCATGTTCCTTAAAATTTTTATTGATCAATTAATTGAAGGTTTGGAGAACATTTTTTTCACCTTGTCGTCGTCACGTCATTTTTCACCTGAATTTTATTTAGTGTAGAAACTATTTTGATACAAAGATTTCTATCTGTAGGATATCCAAATCATTACATACTTCAAATGTAACAAACTTGATTTGTTAAGATTGGTTAGTGTCAGAATAATAGATTAAATCTACATAATTTAGCCATTGTAAATATATGAGGAAACATATAGTGTGTTACAAATATGTGTATAATAAGTAATACAAGATTATCATTAATATACAAAGGCGTGTATTAAAAACATAACCTACCTATTACCTTATCGTATGTGTCATGATAAGAATAAAATATAGTCTTATCGTTTTCTTTACGGAAAATGTAACTTAAACACACACACACATATATGTGTGTATATATATCTACATATGTGTGTGTTACATTAGTTCTTTCCTGTATATAAGCAAAACATTTACATATAACTAATACAATAAATAGTAGATCGGTAAAAGTGAAGTCTATAAATAATTTTCATATATAATTCTCATGTAATTAAATTTTTTGTTCTTATTAAAATAATAGTTGTTTACTCAATAATAAGTTAACAAAGAAGTTGAATGATTAATTACGTATCACATTAAACATAAAGATTTTGTTAAATTTTCGTTAATGATAATTAATTATCACCGTCTTATATACAAAAGATTTTGGAAACATTTTAGTCATAAAGCATGTCCGTGAATAGCTAATAGCATGTTTTCAAAGTTGTACGTCATCCTACATCAGCTAATGGCTGGGGATGTTTTGAAGTTTTATTAATTTTAATAAGAATTTGTTTTGAATAAGACTGCTGATAAAAATTATGTATGGAGCAAGTATTTGTGCTGATAGCTTAGTTGGTGAAGCATCTGGCACAAATCACGAAGGTTTCAGTTCAAATCCTGTTCGTATAAAGATTATTGTTGTTAAAAACATATGAGTATTGTAATTATGTGGATCATTCACAAGCAATGGAAATTTTGGTAATAATAACAATGTAGACAAAAACCTCGAGTCAATAGATTTACTAATCATTTTATAAAATAAATACATATAACTAGTTTTTACATCATGTATATATCACAATTTTAAATAGAATAAATACAATCAAATTTAAACCAGTAGAAGTGAAAGTATTATACGTATAAGTAAAAATATGTATATACATATACTTCTCAGCGATTTCAGTTAGGTTATACCATAGTAATCGTATCCTGCACTAGTTTTGGTCTGCGATTTCTCTCGCTTGGACTTCGGAATTAGGCTAAGAGACTTGTAATATATAGCTATGTTATACAAAACTGACATTTAACAAACGCCACGTGACGTAAATATAGTATAACTGTTATGCCTTTTTCTTGAAGTAACAAAAAATTACAGGATAAATTATATCCTCTGAATTACACAGATGTCAAAGTTATATCAAAATCCGTTAAGTATTTTTTACATGAAATAGATACACCCATAGATCCTTACAAACTCTACCAATAGGAATATTATTAGGAATTCAATAATATTATTTTACAGATACGTACATCTTAAAGTAATATTATTTTAAATAACCTAGTATCAAGGCGAATTTTTTTCAGTGTCTGTAGTAGTGTGAATAAATGCAAGAAAAAGACGAGACCTAGCAAGTTTTGGTCTTAGCCTTACACTCCCAGTCTTGGTCTTGCTAAAATGCAAGAATAAGACCAAGATTTTGAGCAACACTACTCTGTAGCATATATTTTAAATGTATTGTATCATTGTTGCTACGCTTTAAAGATTGTGTGAAGCGAGATCTCACTTCCTTTGGTATCGAGAATAGGGAATGGGAGAAACTCGCGGAAGACAGGGATCGATGGAAGCTTCGGATTGCACAAGGGGTCAAGCTACACGACACAGCGTGGTTCGAAAAACTCGCCACCAAAAGAGCCAAACAGCAGGACAGCAATAACATGCCAGCAGGCGCATCCGCTGCGTTATGCGCCTGTTCCAGATGCGGCCGGTCTTGCCGATCCAGAATCGGTCTGCATAGCCACCAACGAAAGTGTCTATTATAATCACACACTCTCATAAACCAAATCATCTGTAATAGATGAAAAGGCCAATGATTGTATCATCTGTCATGTTAGAACAAACTACACCATATATACCACTTCAATCCATAACAGAATATAATATAGTTTTATATTCAATTGTATTTGATGTCTGACCAATTTAGGAATGTGAAATGTCATATCAAAATATTGTCACGTGTGTTATTAGAAACAGCGGTCGGCACGGACGCTTTGTAACGATACATAAACATTTACAAAGACATAACATAATATATTTATATATATTGTTAATTGTTTAAACCAAAATATACATATACTACATGATTCATACTAATTATAAGGATAGAAGGATTAACATATGGTTATTTAAGTCATAATGGCCTAGTGGTTAAAAGGCCCGCCTCTCATGCACGAGGGCGCGGATTCGATCCTGGCAAGTACCAATGTGATTTTTCAAGTCATATTATCTACTTTCTAAGAGTATTTAGACATCACTGATTAATGCATTCCCAAAGAGGGTTGATGTCAGGCAGGCGGTCGGTCGTAAAAACGATTAGCCAAAACTATTCACAACATGTAAGGCAGACCCTGGCTAAATCTGAAAAATTTCCAGGTAGAAAATATATTATGAAATAAACACTTTCTAAAAAAATCTTATGTTAGTACAGAAACCTGGTTCAAGGATCTCTCAATTTAAGACCTATAGCTTAGCGTGCACAATCAGGGTACCTATTTACTGTGATTAAAACAAAATTAACCTTGAACTTTTATACAATAACCAGTAATTTGTAAATCAAAAGAAAATAAATCATTACTGATAACTCTAGTTAAAAGTTATACCAAAATATATAATAAATTCCATTTAAATAATAAACGCACGTCAGTCTGTCCGTGAGCTGGCTGTCCGGTGCCAGTGAAATATTAATAGCATAGTCCGGATGTATTTTTGTTCGTTGAAGCCTCAATACATCACCGGGATTGATTTCATTATACGTTGTGAGGAGAGGCGGCGCAGATAACTTGACGTGACGGCTACGAATTATATATTAAATAAACATTTACACTTATTTACATAGCTATATATAAAAGAAAGTCGTGTTAGTTACACTATTTGTAACTCAAGAACGGCCGTAGGAATATAGTTGGAAATTGGTGGAGAGAGATCAGAACCAAGACATGGCAATAGGATATTTAATTCTGTACGATCAAAAAGAAAAATTAATACCAATATCTGATCCGCCCGGTCAGCTTTACATTTAATCCTAATTCCGAAATTAACGCGGACGAAGTCGAGGGTAACAACTAGTTAGTATTAAAAACATTTATTTCTTGGATAATACGGTATCGATGTTATCTGGTTGTTCTTTATTCTCCCAGGTATGGTGGTGAATGGGTTCGTGAATGTGGTGATCACCACCATTGAGAAGAGGTTCGGCCTCCGCTCCATGCAGACGGGAGTCATTGCTGGAGGGTATGTATAAATTACATTATTTATTAATTTAACTAAATTTTTTTGCATGTCCTGTAATGATCGACAATTCTTTCTAGCATATCTTTCTATAAAAAGTAATCTATGAAATAATGGAAAATAATGTTCACGTAGACAGCTGTATTCTATACTAGAAGTAGATTTACTAGTAGATTTCCATTGAAGGTATGACATGGCATCGTTTCTCTGCCTGGCCCCGGTAACATATCTGGGCGGAAGGAGCGGCGCTTCCAAGCCTCGCTGGCTGGGCTGGGGCGCGCTGTTGATGGGCGCTGGCTCGCTGCTGTTCGCGATGCCGCACTTCCTCGTGCCGCAGTACAAAGTTGCCGGCGAAGAGGAAGACGATCTCTGCAGAGTCAATAGGACACTTGTGAGTCTGGTTAGGAAAACTTAAACATTTCAGCTGTTCAAAGCGTAGCATTCCGATGAGGATTTAAACATTCCCAGACGAGACGCAGGCGCATTCAAACATCGATAATTCACTGACAAAGGCACGTACTTGAATGAGTTGACCGTATTCACGAGGTCATAATAGCCCTTCGATCAGACTGCTCCAATGGCAGCTATTCTTGTTCGCTCGACCTTAACGAACAGATAAAGAGCTCAGTCTAACATCCACTATGCAGCTTAAACTACATCCATATATAATATACTTGTATTAAAAAATATTAAACGATAAGATTTTTCTCTATTGTTATAATTTAATAGGTGGAAATGTAATTTATGTTCTTTGTAATGATAGTGTCTTACGTCATAACCTGTCCAATACGTATTCACAATGGAACAGATAAATAAAATGTATGCTCTGATGAGTACCAAGATATTGTGGGGAGGAGAAGATCTCATGAAGCAGTCATGTTTAATGTCCAATGTCCTCCAATGTCTATACGAATACTGTGATATTGTGGATAGTGGGTAGAAGATGTCAAGAATCAGTCATACCCAATATCCAATGACCAATGTCCTTCTATATGTTTACACTAGTCGAGCGCCCCTTGTTCTGTCTCTGGCGAGGGTTCATGGGCTGTAGCTGTATTCGTGGCAGCCCAGCTACTCCACGGAGCAGGAGCCACGCCGCTCTTCACGCTAGGAGTCACATACATAGACGAGAATGTCTCTAAGAAGATGTCCTCCGTTTATTTGGGTGAGTAAAGCAACGCAATCTAACTTAATGACTCAGCTTTGGTGCTCATTGCTCAAAAATCTGTTCGAACTACTAAAGTATAGAGAATTTATTACATATTTACCTAACATATATTTACTGTAGGATCTAATATGCAAATATTTTCCTGAACATAAAATAATATTAAAAATAAAACAAATATATGTAAAATTAAGGTAATCAGTTGCTTTAAATCGACACATCCAAAATAAACTTAATCCAACTAATTGGACAGTGGATGGCTGATCATGGCTTTAATCCAATTAACACTAAGAATAAAACATTATTCACCAAAAAATAAATAAAGAACTAGTAATTTATATAAAGAGTAAAGTATTTTATACATTAATACACGTATAAATGCCACAAGCTCTCCAGTCTACTTTATAGCGCGTGATGTAACAGTTATTTTACTCTGGCAACATAAGAAAGCACTCACATAATGTAACAACAGTTAAACAGAACGGCGGGTAATGTCCGGGTATGACGTTAGTGTAACGGATAATATTTTTACACGGACATACATATTTTATATATGTACTAGCTTTCCGCCCGCAGCTTCACCCGCGTGGAGTTCGGTTATATCGCGTTTCAAAAGTTTGGTATAAAAACTATCCTATGTTCTCTCTCAAGGTCAACTCTATATCTGTACCAAATTTCATTAAAATCAGTTCAGTGGTTTAGGCGTGAAAGCGTAACAGACAGACAGACAGACGGACAGACAGAGTTACTTTCACATTTATAATATTACTAGTAGGGATAAGGTGAGCACCGTTATGATTAAAGCCCGAGCTATTCACAAACCCGTAGAATTTCATCGATTCAAAGGAATGCTTATAAAAATAGATGAGTCCACATAATATTTTATAAACTATATGATTCCATACATTTCCTAGACATAATACATCGCCATATCATGTGTCATATTGAACAATCCTGTTGTATGTAATTTTATAAAAAAACTAGCTGACCAGGTAAACGTTGTTTTGACATATAAAAATAGGGGTTGGTGATAACAAAAGTAAAAACTTGGCTTGTATGTATTTTTAATGCTACATTATAAAAAAATAAAAACAAAAATTTCGTCCGAAAAACAAAAAAATAAGGGTGAACCCTTATGACTTAGGGGTGTGAAATATAGATGTTGGCCGATTCTCAGAGCTACTCAATATATTCATAAAATTTCATCAAAATCGGTCCAGCCGTTTCGGAGGAGTTCTCTGTCTAACACCGCGACACAAGAATTTTACATATAAGATTATTTCTCTGTAACGTTTGTAGTATCACGTGGTTTCTGTAAAGATACGGTCCTATCCTAAAAGATGGTAAAAGATAAGTTCATCAAAAGATACGTCTTAAACGAAGCCGCCGCGCCGAATAAAGATATATCTTCCGATAGCAATCAAAACGTATCAATAGTTTTAGCAACTTAATTACTGTTTCCTGCATATCATATATACAGTTACATTCAGAACACATAAACCTTATTACAATGAAATAAAGATTAAAATCGTCTAGCTAATGTTTGGAGAAGTGTGTATAAAGTTTGTTAAACACCTGTGTATAGCTGACAGGCAATTAATCCGCTCCCACTGAAATGCATTCCCGACTGTGAACGCTTCCAGGCGACTTTTGTTCAGTTAGCGGGAACGGTTCATTAAATGTAAATCATTCGTTTGAATACACTCCTCGTGGCATGTCACACGCCGCCACATGTTCTATATATTTTTCTAACTGTCAATTCAAAGTGACATTTTTAAACTGTCAAATGAAATGAAAATGTCAAACAATGTATGGTGTAAAGATTTTAAATTCTTCTTTCTAATATTCAATATATTGATTTGAGTAAAGATTTGTTCTTTTTAATATTATCGAATGTCGAAGAATCGCGATCATGTTCGTGACAGTATTTGTATCGACTATCGATTAGAAATTTGTCGATAACTCTTGGGTAGGCTAAGTTACATTAAAAGATTAAGAAACTTTATCATTGTATCTGGCATTCGGTATTGATATGATAAATCTTCGTTTTCAGATTTAAAAACCTTACCTATGAGTAGTATTATTTCTCTAAAAGTCTCTTAAAACGTTTTATATTTGTTACGTAAAGTGCGAATCTCAGAAGCCATTTTTTCGGTTTACAATTCATACATGAGTTTGCAAATCCTTGAGGAGGCATTTGAAGCGTGAATCGAGATGCCATTAACCCTACAGCGCCACTTCCGATGGGAAGACGAGGGAGCACAGGCCACTACACATGCACACTACACACGGAGTAGTAGCGAGGATAGGGCGAGGCTAGATGATAGCTATAGACTACGAAATACAATAGAAAACTACTAAAACAAACATACATTCACTCATTAAATGCCGATTACACAGCCTAAATAAAGTACAGATAATTCCCGACAAATTCGATAATATTATTAGGCGATATAATCTCTATATCACAGCTTTCTGTGTGTTAGAACCCTAAGAGCCATTCTCCGCGGTGGCTTTTAGCTGTGAAAACACGAGGCTCCGTGAAGGGTTAAGAAATGGGATAGCTTGTAGCCGGCAGCGCGGTGTTTGCTCAGCCCGCGAACAATACTGAGTGCGGCGACCACTTATAATGACACTTCAATATTTATCTAGGCTTCAAGTTCTCTAGATCCGTTTGACACTGCTAGTGGTCGATGGGCTTTTTATTTTATAGTGTTTTTCAAGTGTCTTATTATAGTGGTCGTGTTTCTACAGGTGTGTATTACACTATGGCCGTGGTGGGTCCGGCGCTAGGCTACGTCGTGGGAGGACAAATGTTACAATTATACACAGACTTTTTGACTGTGGATTCTGAAACGTAAGTATTTTTGAAGTTTAATTTAAATATATAAGATATAGTCGTAAGCCAGTTTGTGTGTAGGTAGATGTATCCGTTGCTTTAATTATCCGAGGTCGTATTTTGGTCTGTTTTTTAATATTTCATCCCGTCTCCCGTTCCCTTTCATTTCATTGTGCGTCTCCCAAGCAACTTTTCATCCAAATTAATTCGCTCGTTTTATATTTTCCATGGCTTCCATAACGTAATATCATTTCCCCGTAACGAGTTTCTGAACGACCTCTCTCAAATGGTTTCACTTTTAAATTAACCGCTACCAGAGATCACACACTTTGACATCGTCTTACAACTTACACCCACCCAATAATGAAGGGTACAGATTTGATTTTTATGAACAGAACACATTAAATTATAACTTTTATATTTAGAAAGTTAAATTTAAATAATTTTAGTTATTAATAATAAATTTAATACAAAGTCTGCTGTTAGTTTATCACGACTAAGGCTTAAATATAAATATTTTTATGGGAGTTACTTCGTCAGAAAATAAAAAACAAAAATATCTAGAACCTTTCTGTTATTTCTTACGAATTTTGTAGATATACTAAAGTTGAGACATTTAGCTGTACTTTCAACATTTATTTTACAAAGACACTCATTGAGTCCACAAAACTGTTGTTTGAATAGAGTAATAAAAACTTAAAGTGTTTTAATAAAAGGTCTCGAGAGGCCTTTGAGTTGCTTTCGACGGTCCTCGGGGCCCGTCACTTTAAAGTCTAGAACACAGGCTGGGCCTGATGAGTCTAGAGTTAAGGAAATCTTAAAACTTAGCTAAATATTAAACTCGTTTACACAGCAGTTAATTTCCATATATTTTTGACGAGTGCCATAAATCTCTGTGGTCCGAGCGGTGTAGCTAGCGGGGACATAACTCACGTTATCTTAGCGCAGTCAAATAAATCTTCAGTGAAAACAATGTTCTTATGGGACAGTTTAGATAACCATTAAGTAAACAGGAATACAGTGGCCTGGTCGGTATAAATTATAACACAAAGGAGCGGCTGGGAACACTTCATTACACTGGCTCCAGATTCGGTTTTACTCACTACTGTACATTAGCATATGAAAACATCTCCTCTCTCAGTCGTGATGGCCCGACTCCATAACAGTCCTTCAATACCAACGTTTATATAACAATACGTGCTAAAAGTTCCGTATAATTTCCGAATGTTTAGTTTCAATTATGTAGTTCAGTTCGCTCCCTGAATAATTTAATGTTTTGGGCTTTTATTGTTTTATGTTAATAACTTGTTCGGTTATATGAAATGTTTCCGATAACTCATGCTAATATCAATGTTATTTTGTCTAGATTTTCTATTGATATTGATAGGATTCATACTCCTGACTTATTGTTGACTGTTCGTGTGTCACTAGACTGGGTATAACTCCCGTGAGCTCAGTATGGATAGGTGCGTGGTGGGTGGGATTCATCCTATCGGCCGTACTCTGCGTGGTGGTCGCGGTACCACTCCTCGCCTTCCCATATGAATTGCCGGGTGAGTTATATTATTCAGGTCAATATTCAACTAGACTTAATAGATTAACTGGCTAGCTGCTCCATAGGTGCGGATGAAATAAAGGCGTCGAAAGTGTCTGAAGCTCACGAGAACGCGACCAAGTCCGCAGCGTTCACAGCTCTTCGTGAGCTGCCGTATGCTGCCGCGGAGTTGTTCAAGAACCCGACCTTCATGTTCCTGAACCTGGCCGGTGCCAGCGAGGGTATGCTCATCTCTGGCTTCGCGGCCTTCCTGCCCAAACTCATTGAGAACCAGTTCGGTGTGAGCGCGTCCCAGGCCGCTCTATTACTAGGTATGTTAATGAACTAACGGTTTCTTTTCTAGTTTAGTGTTTTAGAGTAATTGTTATAACGGTGTGATTGAGGCTCGTTTTTATTGCTCTTTTTAATCAATCATGCGTGTGAACAGATGTTGATTGATGCTCAAAAATTATTTTACTTCGCTATCCAGTTGTGAAATTGTCCAAGATTTGATAGAACATCTTAGTTCAGTAATATCTAGCTAGTATTGTAAATGTAGGTGTGACTATACGTGTGTATGTTCCTGTGACACACTAAACCGAATAAGGAGAAGACAAATACAGCTAATCATCAAATACATGAGTTAAGTTGCGATAAAAATATATGTAGTTGCCTGTTATACTTATAAGGCTGACATACATTTCATATTTTTTATTTATGAAGATTTTCATTAAATAACTGTCCTGATATCAAAAAATACTTTTATTGAGTGAGATTTTATCATATTTCAATAGTTTACATACAACTCTAGGTGATTTCGTGTAAGGTACCCGCGGGTATTAAGGCCTGTCGGTTAATAAGGCCTAAGTGACAAAAATCGTACGAAATATAACAGTTGACGATCAAGGTTACACTCACACATGCATAGCGCGTGTACACGTCGCTGCGAAGCGGCGGACGCGCTCTTTCGTTGGCCACGGCACCAGCGTCGTCGAAAACATTTTGGGGAGCGGTCGCGCGGCCGGAATTATAAAAATTGGCTCCAGCAAAACGTAAGTAAATTTTGTAATATCACAGTTACATACCTGCATTGACTGTCTGTTTGTTAATTATTTTATGCTTGCACCTACCTTACCATATTAAAGGGTGTATCGTATTAAAAAAAATATTTGTTTTGTTTTTTGTAAGCAGGCGGTCGGCGGATATTAAGGCCTATAAAATTTGACTATAGGCCTTATTATACTCCTACTTTTTTAAACTGGTTATACCAGAAACAGCTATACCAGAAACAGCTTATACCAGAAACAGCTTTTGCTCCTTCAGTTTTAACGGAAGCTCCAGCACCTGATGACCACCAAGAGAACGTCCCAGCTCTCGATTATCCTCGAGCACAAACTCCAGAATGCGGAAATACAACACCTACTTTTTTATCAGAAGCCTCAACACCTGATCTTGACCAAGAAAATGTACCACCTATTGATAGTCAACAACGGAAGACTCCAGAATCTAGTGATAGATCACCATCAATTTTGACACAGATACCAATATCTGATGTTCTGCGAGGAAATATTTCACCTGTTGATTGTCTTCGATCAACGACTTCAGAACAAGCTTATCAATCACCAGCTATAGCATCAACTTCAACAGGGCAAATCTCAAGAGTGCCAACCATGAAACGCAGCTATTATCGTACAATTTATGGTACAAGCTCGAGTTCAGACGCATCTGATGATTTGCCTCTGAATCAGATAAAAAGATATGAATTTTATGATCTCCTGCCTACGCCTGCTAAAGATCAAACAAAAACACCGACTCTCAGGCAAAAAGCCATTAATTATAGAGGCACTTCCGTCACAAAAGATCTGTTTGATAAATATAATGAAGAGAAAAAAAATCGTAAGGTAATGAAAGATAACAAAAAAAAAAGGAAACCAAGCAAGATGAGAAACTAAATGAAGGAAAGAAAGATAGAACAGAAAAAAAGAAATCTAAAAAGACTTCAAATCCAAAGAAAGCTAAAACAGTATCGGCAAAAAAGTCTACCACCATCAAAGGTACTTCACAAAAGCAAGTGAGCTGGTACTGTCATGCCTGCGAAGAAGACAGAATGGATGATGCAATGAGACAATGCTCGCACTGCTTCAAGTGGTATCATGAACAGTGTGTCGGTTTGTCGATGGAAGATACTGATGACTTTCAGTGTCCTGGTGGATGCGAATAGAGGCAATTTATTTAATTTTCTAAGACCATTTATGTTCCTATTACTTTATTTGTATGATTATTGATGTCAAAAATACCAATTTATAAAGTTTAAGTTGATTTTTCAATAGTTTAAACTATAGGCCTTTTTACCCTCCCTTAGTATAATAAGGCCTACAGAGAGAGTTTTTAAAAAAGTTAAATATTCTTTTAATTTTAAGCAGAAGTTGCTATTTTTTGTTAAAACTTTGTAGTTATTTAAGTAAATGAATGATTACTAATAAAACTTGTTGATTATGATGGACACTTTTCATTTTATCACAAATTTCCCTTAGCTAGGCCTTAATACCCGCAGGTACCTTAATCAAGTTCCCCTACAATCTGTTTTCAATACATTCTTCAAGTCTGTAGATTGTAGTATAAATTGGCTCACATCACCCATATATCTTAATTCGTAAATTAAATTGAACTATTCAACAGCAAGACTCTTTATTACGAATATATCAACATCAATTAAAACTTAAAAGAAATATGATGTAATAGTCTAATTTTAAGTATATATTTCCCTTTTCCCATCCTTTCCTAGCCTTCCCTTCCCTTTTTCCTCCCCTCTCCTCAACTATAACATCTCCATGTTCGACGGTACTACTTCTATCAGGTAGGTCTGCTGGGCCCGGCGAACTTCGTATCAGCCTATAATCAAGAAATACCTGTTACGTTTTTTATTTATATTTTTGGAGTTTACCTATTAAAGCCATAAATCTCCGTGTTTTGAAGTGCGACGGAATGATTGACATATTAGTTAGTTGTCAAATCTAATGTCAAAAAAAAAACGTTTGTATCAACAACTACTAATAAATTAAAAATTAATTAAAAAAACATTGTCCAGCGGACAAAATTGTGAATCTAAACCATTCCCAGATCTATTTGAACACACACAAAAAATTTCATCAAAATTGGTCCTGTCGTTTGAGAGTAGTTCAGTGACAAACACTCACAGACGAATTATATATACAGGGTGACTGGTGAATTACTATCAATATTTAAGGAGCATACTCGGTACATGATTCTCATTCGAATTATGTAAAAAAAATAGGTACTTAATTTTTGACCAAATTTCCGTATAAATAAATAAAGTGTGTACACGTTCCAAGTGTTCCTAGTGTGGACGCGTGCGGCGGCGTGCTGATACAACAACACGCCGCCGCGCGCGATTGTGTGTGTGTGTTTATACCTAATCTGTAGGGTGCTCATACGATGCGTAATTAATTACATAACTTTTGGTTAACTTTACTCAGAAGTTTATTAATATTTATGTTATATTAATTTTATTTTGTCATATATGATCGTCAAATATCACGTCCTCAAATATCGATAGTAATTCACCAGTCACCCTGTATAAAGATATAATGTATGGTAAGGTGTGATCACGGTCCCGGCGGGCGGCGGCGGCACGTTTCTTGGCGGCTGGCTGGTGAAGCGCTGGCGCCTGTCGTGTGCGGGCATCATCAAGCTGTGTGTGGGCTCCACGCTGTTAGCCGCTCTGTTCTGCTTCTCGTTCGTGCTGAGCTGTGACGACTCACCCTTCACGGGCGTCACCGTGCCTTACGACAGCCCCGCGCTGCCCGGGTACGATATATGTAACACAATAGCTTAAAGAATGAAAATATCTTAGCTTAATATGGGAATGGAAATACTATGGCATTTATGTGAATAGAATTATATGGTAAAAGATTTCTATTGATAATATGTTTATGTGTAACTGCCAAATACACTTCTTAGTTCTTGTTCCCTTACTAGTTTCGATAAGTTACATACTATATTCTCATTGACAATCTTCGCACCTGATAGTATTAACACAAGTATATGTACGGATACCTGAGAACGCACTGTATTTAGTGTACGTTGTAGACACGTGGTAAGTATTGTATCCCAACAATAGTTAAGTCTACAAAACATTAAACTAACATACAAACAATTTTGTCGATATACTAGTATGTAATCGATTCTTTTTGTAGTAGGTATTTATGATAGCCCTTAAGTTGATACAAATTGAAGTATTGTATTCCCATCGGGGTTCCGGGCACCATAACTGAAACCTCCATTCAAGAAGTAGTTTTAGTAAGGCATGTTATCTAAGTGTTTATTCATGGTGTGTAGCGGTGACGGTCTGTTGGCCGAGTGTAACGCGGCGTGCGGCTGCTCGCGGCTGGCGGGCGTGTGCGGCGCGGACGGGCGGGCCTACGGGTCCCCGTGCCACGCGGCCTGCTCCGCCGCGCGCCGCCTCGGGCCCGTCACCCTCTACACGGGCTGCGCCTGTATACACCCCGCAAACACCCTCCCACTGTACTACGATGAGGGTGAGATGAAACTAACATACACTGATGAGATCTAAGACTTTAAAGAGATATGTTCATTTAAATGAAACTAATATTTTACGGATATACTACGAGTAAAACTCCATACTTCCGACGTTTCGGCTACTTTTCAGATCACGATTGCTGAAAAGTAACCGAAACGTTGGGAGTATGTAGTTTTTACACAAAAATAAACCGCGTAGTATATCCGTAAAATATTAGTTTCATTTAAATGGACACACTCTGGAATCTAGATGGTATCATTATGACATTAACATCTAGCTAAATATTTCTACTAATAAACATTATTACAATGTATTGATGAAGATTTTGTTGATAACACTAAAGATAGAACCTCCATCCTTATCAAACGAGCAAAATTTTAAGAAGACTTATCATAGTGTTTCAAGTCAGTACACCATAGTATATAAACCAAAGCTAACCTTGCCCTTTCACTCTCTGTATTTGAATTCTAGTTCCTCCTACACTACTCCTCTGTGTTCATTACAGAGAGCAACTCGTCGTCCCCGTACGAGGCCATCAACACCCCGTGCGTGTCCGAGTGTCCGTACCTGTGGCTGTTCGTGTTCCTGTCGTTCTGCGTCATGTTGTTCACGTTCGTGGCCACCATGCCGGCGCTGTCCGCCACGCTCAGGTCTCACACACCACCTCATCTTACACCACTCGCGGTCTCAGTATATCGGTCGTCTAACTGACGGTGTGTGTGGTCGCAGGTGCGTCAGAGAGGAGCAGCGCTCGTTCGCGCTGGGCGTCCAGTGGATCCTGGTCCGGCTGCTGGGCACCATCCCCGCGCCGCTGCTGTTCGGCTTCCTCATCGACCTGGCCTGCCGCCTGTGGTCCGCGGGCGCCTGCCGACTCTACAACAACCTGTACATGAGCAGGTACACACCTCCACATAACACTCCATAGAACATATACGTCATATATGGAGCAGTTCTCAGTCATTTATTATTTTAAGAATATTAAAAATTGCACCACCCTATACTGTCTTCCAAACGCAATCCTCTAACCCCAGGTAGCCTGGAAGAAATGGCTAATAAGCCATAAGGCCGCCTTTTGTTTCACCATTAGTTTTTAGTTTGTAATTGTGGTGTACAAAAAAGTGTTAAATAAATAATTGGACACTTGAAGTCTTTCACTCAAAAACAAATCCTAACCAACACAACCATTATCCATACATATGTTTGAATGTTCCAGGTACATGTTGGCCTTAGCGCTAGTAGGCAAGCTGTGCTCGCTGCTGTTCTTCTTCTTCGCGTGGTGGTTCTACAGACCGCCCGGGAACAAGAACAATAACGCGGTGTCCCCGGCCGCGGAGCTGGTGCTGCACGACAAGAGCAACGGAACACTCAGCACCATTGCCAACGGAACAATGGACACGAACAACGGGTACTGCAACGCGGCTCTGGAGTGTAGCGACCATATATGAGAAAATCAATAAAAACTTGTTTCATATCATACAGCCATACCAAAACTATGTTTTAATTATTTCAGACTTCAAAGCACAAATTCAATCATAATCAATCATGTATTTTTTTGTGATGACAACATTCCAATACGCATAATATTTATAGTATATTTTTAAATCAAAAATGTTTTTTCATACATTTTACTAAAGCTGTTATACTTACATTAAATTAAAAGAGACATGGCAACACTCATACATTCCGCACCAATACAAATCATTCCGTTGTAATTTGTATTAACAACCGTTAATGTTTATATGTAAATTGTATTTTGTTTAAGACTGATTGTTCACGTAGTTAATAAATAGTTAGTGAGTTTATTTTATTATAAGCTGCAGGTACACTGGAGTGTAAGAGTTATGTATTTATATATTTATTTAGTGATTCGTTTTTATCACTTATTGTTTGGAATTATAAATATTTACTTTTATTTCGGATGTTTAAAAAATCTTTTAATTGTAAGCAGGAATAGTGTTTATTTGTACATCAAATCTTATACTAATCTAGAATTGTTTCTAGGATTTTATTTATTATACTATATTAGGGCACAGAATATATATATGTATTTTAGTTTATAAGTTAAGGGCAGTATTGTAATCATACAGGTTGTTGACTTATTACTATTAAGACTATTTGTCTAATGTAGCTGGATATACATTTTTTGTTTCTAATTTAGACTATATATATTTTGATGTGTTAAAATGTCTTGTATTTCTGTTCGCCTGTTTAATGAACATGTAAATAATTATTATAACTAATAAACATAATAACCCAAACTATTCTATACAAACAATACATATTCATTAAGTGTGGTCTCAAATAATATTTAGCGGATTCGAGGTTTTTTAATATTGTAAGATATCTGTAGATAATTATAGTACTATAATAATTTTGAAATTGTACAATTTTACACTGAAATGTTTGGTAAAAATAAAAACAAATGTATAATGATGTGTTGTTTGAATGAAACATCACAAAATATGAATACATATATTCCAACATTACAACTCACAACTTAACAACTAACAAGTGTGTACCATCATGATAGAAAGCATATCATTCACATTCAAAGTTGGTAAACTCAGAAGAACTTCACTCCTTGGTTGTCATCAAACTCTATCAGCTCACATTTACCGTTGCTTGATAATGCCTTGAGTGCTTTTATCAAAATGTTCATGTCTAGTCCATGGAACTCTGAAAATAATAAACATAGTTATAAAAATGTACACCGCTTCACTTAAATCTTCACATGGGAGATAACATTATTAAAGATTTGTGTAGAAAAATATAAGTGTATTTAAAATTGTCAGGAGTTGGACTATACTCATTGAAAATAACTAAAAAGGGAATAAGTAATGTGTAATATCTAAATTTATGAAAAAGAAAAAATATTCATAAATTTCTGAGTAAAAATCTTTAGCCAAATAAGTTACTTTTTTTTATAAATCTTTTACAAATACAAATACAAATCCTTGAGGAACAAATTCAGTTTTTGTTCTTAAATCCTCCACTGTTATGAAATCAGCTCTAAAATATATTTGCCTTAGTTAGACTTACCTTCACCAACAGTGTTGTCGCCTTCTCTGAGCTCATACAATGTACAGACGGTGTTGTTCAGTCCGTTACTGCTCGCCCAGTTATATATCATGTTACCCCACTCGTCCAGTGAATGCCAGTACACTTCCCACACATTCTTACTCTTATCTATGGGCGCAGCTTTACCAGATTTCGCCATATCCTCTAAAACAGTCAGAACTCCCTCCGGAGACAGCCTCCTATCGATAGCTGTGTTGTTAAATAGCGGACTGTTCTGTGATTCTCTTACATCTATGGTAGATTGTTTTGTTGCTTTCATATATTCCGATATCAGTTCTTGCCATGCTTGTAATTGTTTGGACCTTGTTTCCGAGTTTGGCTGGATTCTGGAAAAAACAATTTACATTGTATTAGTGATTTCATATCTCATATATATTTTTGTCTCACAAAACGACTGATAACAAGTTTTGTTGCATATAAAAAATCCTCATAATTTGCAAAAGTATTATTTTGTTCCTGTATTGCACATATGTAATCATGTGATGCACAAAAGGTGAACTTAATGATCACCTTATCTTCATAAAGATAAAAGAACATTTAGGCTGTGTAAATATAAGAAACAATGAAATTAGACAGGAATTAAAATATAATCAGAAAATCACATGACAATCAAAAATATTCTAACAATTAATTTATACTAGAAAAAAATTAAACAAAATTGCAAACTAACAAGAACTCAATAAAGTTAATATAAAAAATATCTCACACTCAGCCTCTCTAGATATTTTCTAAGTAAATATTTAAGAAATATATTGATATAGGAATGGAATTCTGTTCTGTCCATTAATGTTTGATACTTACTTAAATATTATCAGATTTGATCACATTTTCATATATCTCTATTAATTTTAATTCAGTTTCGTTTCTCTTAGTCAGAGTTTTAACTGACTTGGGTTCTAAATCTGTTATTGACATCTTGTACGCAATTGTTTCGTCCCCAATTCTTATGGTGGGAAGATTTTCATGAGATTTATTGGTGAATGTGATCATGATCGAGCAATCTTTAGCTACAGCCGATATAAGGGCAAGATGACTCGAGTCTATGTGACTTAAAAAACTTTCTCTATCGGTTGTATTTGATAAATCTAAATGTTCATCATTTAACATGTTTAGTATGAATGAAACATATTCATATGAATCACTTGGTTCGGGATAACAATTATCAAAGTTCTTGGATAGTTTTTGAACACCAAGTAACTTGTTAAGTAGACTGTTTGTGTAGGGGTTTCTTTCTTCAACACAACCCAATGTAGATTCTGAGATCATATCATAGGTGGATTTGTGTAAAATAATATCCGAATTGCCTTCACTGAGTAATATCTCAATGATTAAATCTAAAAAATTATTTACATTTTCAAGAAAAGGCATTTGTGCAATCAAGTGTTCAAAAACTTGTACATTCGACTGTTCATTATAAATAACCATGCCATTTTTAAAAAGTTTAAAATTGTTTTGTGGATTTTCTATCAAGCTCTTTAGAGCCTTCTTTATTCTTATTTTATTACCAGAAAATAGATCCAATGGACAGTAATTACTTATTTTACTGATTTGATTCTCATTCAATTTTATGTATTGTTTGAGGCAAAAGTAACATTTGGCATATTTTATGAATTTTTTTGACATAAAACCCTCTTTTGGTTTAATTTCTACACAGTAGTTGTCGAATTCATAATCTATCAAAGCTAAATTAGGTGCTCTTATAGCATACTGACTGATAATGTTTTTTATTTGGCGATGTTTTGGTCTTAATAACTTCAATGTATTTGATAATGTTGCAATTTCATCTGGATTGATTGTAATTACTTCTTCTTGGTAATTATAATTTTCAAAAAGCAATGGTATCATCACTCTATTTACAAAGTTGACGGAGTTGCGTACGACACTATAATCTGTATGACTCCGGTCATCCTCTTTAATGAGACGAATAACGCAGTCGCTGTTTAATATATGCAGGACAATGTGGACATTTCCTTCGTTAATATACTTCCAATTCTTTCCAAGACTGCTCATTTTTGTTTCGATGGGCGTAGTGTTACAAACAATAAATGATACTACTTACGTAAAAAAAGGAGGAAAATTATACTGCCACGGCCAAGATACTTCTGCCATTATTCGATGTTTTTAAAAATAAATCACAAATAAAACTGATACTGAGCTTTAATAAAAAAACTTCATTTTATTTAGTTTACAGTATCATCGCATATTTAAAACTCCAGCTGACTCATGTCAAATCGATAATTATTAAATTATTAATTTTAAGTTTATGTATTTATAAAAGTATATTAATAACTATTTACGTACAAAATAAGATATTTGTATGTATTTTTTGGCAAAATATCTATAATAATAATTTGTTATCCATATTTATATTACCCCTAAGTATAATCTGTTTCGTATTTGTTAAAGATTTCTTTTCTCGTTTTGCGAAATAAGAATATGACATTACTGTGACACAGACTTGTCAAAGTAAATTTTGGAGCAACTTATTTCGCATTATTGGTAAAAAAAAAACTGTTACTCCGTAACGGCTGTGAGAAAACCAGTGTAAACCCTCCTCATCGTATTTTTTAATGTAAACTAGTGAATATTAAAACATTTTTAAGGCAACAAAATGATAACACTAAATAGAAAATTCAAAAAGGAACATACGGAGGTTCCCAATGGTGTTATTGAGCCGTTGAGGAGAATATCAGTGAGAGACAAATTATTAGTTAAGGAAGTGCAGGAGATGAACGAGAACCTTCCCGCGACGTGTTCAATTCATTTTGAAGACCCTAATTTATTGAGCGAATTTATTCTGACCGTCAGCCCTGATGAGGGCTATTGGGCTGGAGGAAAATTTAAATTTAGTATTTATGTGACTGAAGATTATAATATGGCGGTAAGCAAGAAAATAATAGTAAAAAAGTCATGTGAATATCACAAAGTACACACTCATAATTATTTTTATTTTTCAGCCACCAAAAGTAAAATGTTTGACTCGTCTCTGGCATCCTAACATTAATGAAGATGGAGAAATATGTCTTTCGCTCCTACGACAAACATCAATAGATGAACATGGGTGGGCACCGACCAGGAGGCTCAAGGATGTAGTGTGGGGACTAAACTCTTTATTCACTGTATGTACTATAAATAATATAATTATACTAAACTTTTATATGTTTGAAAGTCTTATTTTATCATCTAACTGTTCCAGGATCTCCTAAACTTCGAGGACCCTCTGAACATTCAAGCAGCCGAGATGTATAAGAAAAATAAAAGTGAATTTCAATCTAAAGTACAGGAGTATATTTCCGTGTCGAAGGGGAAGAGATGAGGTTTACTTTCCCGAGTTAGGTTTAACAACAACTCATAGTGTGCACTAAAGGACAACAGTAACAATAGTTTTAGTGAAAAATACTCCAAAACAAAGTGATACATTAATAGAAAATAAATTATGTTTGTGAAGAAATATATTCGTTTCTATCATTGCAGGCAATTCTTTTAATATTTTTAGATTTAAATGATATTTATAATTCAAAGTATATTTGTATAATATAATAATTTAGCTTCTAAAACACTACCTACTGTGAATTATTGCAATAATATAGATATAGTGATTGGTTAGGCAATTTATATCAACTATTGGTGTGTGTGAAATTGTATTTTTACATATATATAAATATATACATATAGATTATCGATCATAATATGTCTGTTCCATGATTTTGAAGCTATCCACATGTCATTCAGTTTGAAGCGGTAAAATATTCCTATTTGATTTCTAAATTATTGAATTCGTCCATAAAAAACTTTTAATTGTCAAAAATGAGTTTTGTCTCTAGTCAATCAATCATTTGGTATTCTTTAAATCGCTTCAACATAAGTGCTATTAAACATTTACAATATAAGTAGCTTCTTTTGAAAAATTGTGTTTTATTTATCATGAAAAATGTACAACTTAAATACAGAAATTAATATTGTTATTGAATTTACTAAATATATTTGTATGTAATAAATTGGTTAAGTAGATACATTTTAATATGAAATAATATAAGGGCAGTATGTCTAATACATTATGGTGTGTATTTAATCTGTTTCTTTTTATAATTTTTTTATATTCCTACCAGGATTATGATAAATGTAAACAGGAAAAATAATACAATTCAGAAATCGAATTTTATTTTCAACGTAATACAAAAAGTAAAATAGTAAAACTATTTATAAATAAGTTAACTTAATAATAACAAGCCAGATTCAAAAATAAATTAATGATCGCTTTTCCATGTTTAGTTTTAATATGAGTGTAAAATTTATATATTCTATGGCGTATTTTAATAAACAAACATTGAATAATAGTCGCTTTGGTTATAAATGAGTATTTATAGAAAATAATGTGTTTTAATTTTTATAAAATGATTTTCATATGAATCAACAATACAATTAAATATTTACAATAATATAACAAAACAAAAGACTTATATAAACCTGATCAAGGGATTAAATACCTGTATACACCAAAAAAAAAAGTATTGACACGTTTCAAATTTTGTTAATGGCTGATTATAAGCCAGGGCATGAAGGTTGTATATATTTTAAAAATAAAACAAATAATGACTCGTCAGTTCGCGGGTTTTTTTTATAGTGTGTTGAGTGTTTGTGTGTGTATCAGTGCGTACAGAAGTCAGTGTTAGTTTGTAATTCGTCAGCGACACTGTTGGAGCGCGCCAGCTTCGGGGCGGCGCCGCATGACGCCAGGATGTCCGTCTGGGAGGTGGCGCGAGACTTACGCTCGTGATATTCATCTGAGAACTCCTGGTGGTCAAACAAAATGATTTCGTTACATATATTAGTATGTCTTTATATCGTAGTTCATCAAGATCTCATTAATTAAAATTAATATTTTTCGGATCACTTTGCGTATTTTATTATTGTAAAAAACTGCATACTCCCGACGTTTCGGTTACTTTTCAGCAACTGTGAGCACAACTCGTCTGTCCGTGATCACGGTTGCTGAAAAGTACCTGATCGAAACGTCGGTGGTATATAGTTTTTCATAAAAAAATAAATAATACACGCGTAGTATATCTGAAAGATATTAGTTTCATTTAAATGAATACTTCCGATAGTCTTCGATATCATAAAGTTTGATTCTGGTGCAATCGTTATTTTTAATTGATTGTATATATAAGGACATTATCTTCTCAATATTAATACTGTAAAGATAACTTTAAGTGCGAAGTTTTAATAAATGTAACTATCTCATAAAATCAAAAGTTTTATATCCAAACCTTGAGCCTGTTGCCTAAGAAGACAGCCCTCTCTCGTTTCCTCTGTATGAAGTCTGAGTTGGCGAGCCAGCGGTGTTCGGGACATTCCTCGGCTGACGGACGCTTCAGAGGGACCTTCTTGAACACCCACATGAGGAAACGGGTTGCCTCCTGGAAGAATAACAAAAGATTTTATTAATAACACGTTAGGTTACTCATTTAGTGTTATAAAAGTAATCAGATTTTTTTCGAAGAGCCATGAGTGACGTGTTTCTAATAAAGGATTCAAATATAAAGAATAAAGATATTAACTACGTAGATTTCTAACGAAAAACTGAAAAAGCTCCGTATGTAATGGGTCAATGGAGAATTTGTTAAAGATATTGTGTTTACGAGTAACGTCACATACTGCGTTTATATACGTAATTTAAGTTATCGCAAAGAAACGGATACAAAAATATAAGAATGTTACGTACATATGATGGAACTAAAAAAAAAATCACATTACCTGAGTGATCTCTTTGTATAGATGCTCAAATCGGTATCTCACGAAAGAAATATTCTGTTTAGTCTCTGCATCGTCAGTGCCACGGAAGGGTGACACTCCTGACAACAGGATGTAGGTCAATACTCCAAGTGACCATATATCCGTCTGTGGGTAGGCCGGCTCGTCGTTTATTATTTCCGGAGCTGAAACATTTGTTGGTTAGGTTGAATTCTACTTTAAAAATATTATTTTGATTTAAATGAAACTAATATTTTTCGGATTAGACTACGCGATTTTATTTTTGAAAAAAAAAAAACTGCATATTCTCGACGTTTCGGCTACTTTTCAGCAACCGTGATCACGGGTAGACAAGTTGTGAACGTAGTAAAAATATACATAGTTTCTTTTAAATGAATAAAACTCGCGGAAACCTTAGATCTCATTATTTCGATGTTATCTGATGTATTTACCTTTATATTCCAAGTCGCCGACCTGTGGGACGCTGGTGCCCAATTTAGTGACTCGGTGCGCTGAGCCGAAGTCTATTAGTTTGACTTGTATGGCCCTGACGGAGGCCATCACGACGTTGTCTGGCTGCAGGTTGAGGTGGCAGTAGCCGCGCCAGTGGAGGTACTGCAGCCCGTCCAACACCTGGCTCACGATCGTGGCCACCATCTGCTCGGTGTAGTCGTGACGACTCGACAAGTATGTGAGCACGTCGGCGCCTTGCAGCTTCTCCATAACGAGCGCGGCCACCGGTGACCCAGGAATTTGATATGCCGCGATTAAGCTCGATATCCTCTCGTGTTTAAGTTTTCTCAAGCAATTGTACTCTCTCTGCACTTGAACTTCAGTTTCGGGTTTGTTTTCTAGAAGCTTCGCTACTACAACGCTGTCTGTGTTCTTGTCGACGGCTTTTACTATGGTTGAGAAATTTCCTCGCCACAGCTCCGATATGAACGTGTAGCGTTCGGAGACGTTGGTGGTCGTGTCCCATTCGAGTGGGTTGTTTTCCGTGTCGTAGTCCAGTACGGGTTTATTTTCGTCCAAAACAATTTCCTGTCCAGATTCAGTCAACTGTTGCAAGTGTTTCATCGCCTTTGTCACCTCTATTTTTGGAGAACCGGTTTGTTTCGTTTTAACCAAGTTAGTCGGGATGCCCTTGTCGCTCCAGCCGATTCTGTTGCGGGATGACAATCTGAATTGGTAGCTCGTGTCCGGTTCGAGGTCCCTCACGACGAAGAACTCGTGGTCAATATTCTCAGCGACTGTGATCCATTCCACGCTATCTCCCTTTTTGTACTGCAGACTGTAGCACACCACGGGAGAGTTTCCGTCGTACTTCGGCTGTTTCCACCGGAGTAACACCTCAGTATCGGAGACGTCAGCCGCGGTCGGGCTGTCCGGGGCGTCCGGGTGGGTCGCCTCCACTATCCTCGTCCTAGCCACCGTCTGACCGACCTTATTCCTGGCTACGACCTTATAATAACCAATATCGTGATGCATAGCTGGGTCAAATTTGAGCGTGGACCTGCCTTCTTCGTCCGTAATGATTTTGATGCGCTGGCCCTCAGCGATGACCATGTCGTTTTTAAACCACTGTATCGAAGGCTGAGGATCTCCTACGGCGAAGCAGGAGAGCTGAGCTTGATCGCCCTCCTGGACGGGCAACACTTGGGGCTTCTCTCGGAAGAAAGGCAGCTGGCCGTCCTTTTTGGATTCCATGAAGGCCTGTGCCTCCGCGTAGCTGTCGAGGCGCGTGCCGAGCTCGTGTCTAAGTCTTCGGATGGTGTAGGACTCCGTTCCGTAGTTGTTGATCCTCTCGCGTCGTTCATCATCAATCTCCTCATCCATGATGTCAGTAAACCGCCGACGTTCGCGGATAATTGGCGTCTAGGAAAAAGAAAATTGTATTGCATAATTATACTGATCATATGTATCCCTACATTCTATATAGGTTTATTATTGGAATAAACAATGCATATATATTATACTCATAATTCTACTGACCCTGGGGTCGTATGTGTCGTGTACAGCCAGACTGTATCCAGGTGAGCGCGTACAGGCCACCTTCATATACTCTCGGAGTCTCACCGGGAACGAAGTGTCTCGTAGTTGCAACAAGTAGGTGTCGGGACCGTTCTGATAGCTGCGGACAATGACATGTGGCTCATTATTTGTCTACTGGAATATATTTATATATACCAATTAGGAATGTAAGAATTGTTGTCAACATATCAGTAAACAAAGTTATTATAATAGCTTTAAATAAACTAAGTAATTGACTAATAGAACATGCAATAGTAATTGAAAAAATGTGTATTTTGGCTAAGTAACAAATGTCTTCACTTTAAATTTTAAGCTCGATGTAAGGTTTTTCGTCCTTGTTTTACTTTGCAAGAAATTATTTTAAATACGACAAAAAGTTTGTAATTACTAATATCAAACTGAAATCATGAGATTAATTTTAACAAATTATATTATAATATAGTAAAAATAATAGCTCACTGGCTCTCAGATTTGGCGGAAACCTCCCAGTCAGGGTGATCCCACTGCTTGAACTTCAGGTCCCACTCCGCGGGTTTCCTATCTCTGGAGATGTCGTCGCGCTCAGGAGTTCCTGCAAACAGAGAATGTATGAATTAATGTGTATTAAAGTATATGTTTTGCTATAATTATTATGCTATTACTGTATATGTTAGTGTCTACATATTTGTAGAAAAGTTGTTGGAATTCATATTTTACTTGGTTTGTTATTATGAGAAGAGTTCTGTGCTAAAAAGCACGACGTCAAAAGTTTGGTGTAAAGCAAACCAGGGAGTTTGATATTAGTATACTCCTTTTTTTAAATCATCAACATCCTCATACTGGGTGCTTTTTATTGCAATACCGAACCATCTATCTAAATAAGTTTTATGGCATGACCTTTTGGACTAAATATGGGGTAATTTTAAGCGTAAATTTCAAATATTCATTACCTATAAACTCTTTTAATTGTTTCGCAATACAACCTGCTGTAAATGGGTGACAGTAGACCTGTATATTACCTTCAGGAGTGTATATGATGCCGGGCGGGTACACCATCTTGGAGGGATGCTCGAAGGCGCCACTCAGCGGCCGACGACGGAACCACGTGCGACATTGGGCGTTGTCCATCCATTCCCTTAGTATAATAAATTTTTGATAATTTCCCTTAGTATAATAAATTGACAATAACAATTTAGTACTTTCTGTTTTAGGAAGTGTATATACCTGTATAAATTGTAATAATTCCTCAATCTGTCCGTCGATATGATGTATTCGTCCTTATAGATCTTGTCAGCCATTGTCAGCCAGGGATGGTTCAGGGCTGTATCGACGTCCATCCTGTCTCTCCAGTTGACGACCAGCAGTTTGGATATGAAGTCCCTGGACTCCCGACTCAGGCAGGACCACCACTCCTCATCGAACTGCCACTTCCCTTCCTGAATCCTCGTCAGCGTCTCTCTATCATTGGCGCCTCTGAAGGGTGATATTCCGCTCAGCAGTATGTAGGTTATGATGCCGGTGCTCCACATGTCCGCGGCGAAGGTGACTCCTTCTCCTTTAGCCACCTCGGGTGCCACGTACTCAGGCATACCGTAGTTCAAGGCAGCGTGCTTGTCGAGATGGATCTTGCGTGACAGGCCGAAATCGCAAATTTTCAAATAATCGCTTCCTGAGTGAGACAGAAGCAGCTCGCCGATCTGGAATTATGATTATTTTAGTGTTCTTTATTTTAATAATTCTAATTTCCTATTATTGAAGACGTACTGTGAGTCCTAGATGAGCGTAACTGTTGTCATGCATGTGTTTCAATCCCCTTAGCAACTGTCTCATATATCCCGCTACCTCGCGTTCACTGTAGCCGGTACTACGCAGCAGCCGATCTCTGAGAAACAAGTACACTTTAATTTCGAATTTACATCAAATTTGATAATTTTATGCATATACAACGTCAATACATTCTTTTTATAGTGATTAATTCTTTCTGAACAGGATCTCTTAAAACCATGACCATAGAATAACATTCTTGTTTTTCTATGGTCATACTCATACAGTCAGTGTTCTGTGTCAGTCATTCATGAGTCAGTTCCTACCTGACCAGTTCTCCTCCAGCAGCCAGTTCCATGACCAGTGCCAAGGTGTGGTCGTGTTCGAAGGCCTGATAGAGTCTCACAAGGTGACGGTCGTTCAGCTGGTTCATCACGTCCAGTTCGTTTTTCATAAACGGCTTCAGCTCCGAATGACCGTGCATAATCTTGGCAGCGTAATTACGACCTGTAATACATAAATGAGAGTATCGCCTTAATAGCTTATATGGTTGGGTATATAAAATTGACGGAGTAGAGTATGATCTAGTATGTTTTTAGTTTTCTGTTTGTTGGATTGGAACTGTTCCCTGTCAAATATCAAATGTTAGAAAGTTATTTAACATTGTTTACTATACCTGAAAGTCTCTCGGCAGCATGGTACACGACCCCTTGCACTCCACGGCCCAGCTCGTCTCCAAGGTCGAAATGGTCTCCAAATGGTTTGCTGCTAGGCTTGATTCGTGGAGGGTATTCACGGATTCTGGGAAAACAAGCTTACATGTTGGATCACTTCAGATAGTGTTTTCTTTTGTTCAAAAAATGGCCAAGTCCTTCAAGGAATTAGAAAATAGAAATGCATTTTGAAGGATGTATTAAAATTATACAGTTTTCATGTACCTTTGTGAATATTCATGTTCACTTTCTTCCACATAAAGCATTGCGGATGAACTGACTGAGCCGGCGACGTTTCGAGCTGATACCGAGTACAGACCTTCGTCCTTCAGAATAGCGTCCGTTATCACCAGCTGTACTGTGTCCGGTTCGATGAAGTACATCTGGGAAGAAAATAATTCAAAGATAGATCATTATGACAGAACAAATAATTTCATGTTAAGTTAAAAAACTACATGAAAATGGGAGATTAAGTTAATCCTGGAATACAAAACAACATGTCGTAAATCTCTACATTTTTAATATATAAAAGGGACTGCTGGTAAATTTGAAGATAAATGTGTTACGTAACAAAAGAATTACAAAAAATTCAACCAGGACTTTAATAATATAAATAAAATAAATAAATAAAAATAAACTTTATTGACTCAAGTATTACAATAGAAACAAGTTGCAAGGGCCCCTGTACTAGGTGTAAACCCGTATTACAATATATTAATCGAATTCAAAAATGAAAAGGTTCTCGACTTCATTGGTATTATTTTGCGTTTTTACACGGATTTACAGATATTTATAATCCCATTTTTTTATCGTCTTTTCTTTGATTCGAAATAATTTCCATTTAAATAAAGCATAGTCAAAATATAGCATAGCCTACTTCCTATCTTTAAATTTATGTGATTTTTTAGAATATTCCATTCAGACATAGATTGGCTGAATTGCAAACATATTAAACTATTCTTTCTTTACATTTATCTATCATCGTCATACCTTAATCCTGGAGCTAGGTGCCAGTGGCTGCCAATCCTTGTACCACTTGATATCAGGGTATGGCAGGCCAGTGACTCGTGCTTCAAAACGAGCCGTTCTTCTGGTCATAACAACCACTTCCTCGGGCCGTCGTATGAAGGCGGGGTGCTCCGCTAGTTGCAGCCTCACACGCTGCCGGGCCTGGCCGTGCTCATTAGTGGCCACTGCTTCGTACCAACCAACGTCACGCTCTAACATTCTAGTGGACATAATCGGAAGACTTCCTTTATAACACGTCGAAATGTAAAGATATCTAAGATTCTGCGAGTTTTATTCATTTAAATGAAACTAATATTTGTCGGATATACTAGGCGACTTTATTTTTGATAAAAACTAAATACTCCCGACGTTACGGCTACTCTTCAGCAACCGTGATCACGGACAGACGAGATGTGAATGTCATTCACAGACAGTAGTTTTTATCAAAAATAAACTCGCGTAGTGTTTCAGAAAAATATTAGTTTCATTTAAAGGAGTCGAAATGTTTTGAAAGTAAAGTGTTAAACTAACAAAAGGATATTTTTGGTGACATTAGTTTTTGCTGTATTGATGTTATTTAGACCAAAAATTTAAAAGCGAAAATATAAAAAAGTTTTTAATTAATTCCAATAGTTCTCACTCACTTGTTTATGAACAGCGTAGCCTGTCCGTTCCTGGTGTAGCTCCAGTCGTATCTTCCTCCGGCCTCAATGGGTTCATCGTTGAAGAAGTAAGTCATCTTGGGCTTCGGGTAGCCGTACACGAACCAGAACAGGTCCACGTTGTGGCCCTTCACACCGTATTGTGAGTCTTGCTCTTGTCGGAGGAATTTGGGAGCCTGTTCATAGCTACCGTGAGGAGGCCGCTCGATGTCGAAGTCCTTAGGGAAGTAGGGCGAGGTCTCCGGCCGGAAGTCGATGCCGGGCTGTAGGTAGGGCACGAACTTGGGCGGGTCGGGTTCCAGCTTGGCGCGGTGCGTGACGGCGTAGGGTGACGGGTCGCTCACGCCGAAGCGGTTCTCAACACGGACTCTGAAGCGGTAATCGCGGAAGGGTTCCAGGTTGCGAACGTCACAGGCACAAGACCGTAGACCCGTACGAGCAGTGAACCAATCACCATCTGGTATGGTGCACATCTCCACCTTAAAACATATATTTTATTTATTTTAGGAACTTTTATAAATTATTAACATGAAATGAAAGTTAGTTATATGTAATATGGTAAAAACGATTATTTCTTTGCATTATGGGATTTGTCACTTCTTCTATGCGTTATAATAACAAATACCTGGTTACCGAGCTTTGTTCGGTATTAAGGAATTATTAATTAACAATGCCATCTGCTGTTGTGTCGTTAAATCAATTAGCAAAAAGTAGTATTGCTATCCGCCAATAGATGTCAGGAAGAGTCATATTTTAAACGACTCCTGTTTGTTATTTTTTTTTAATTTTCAAAAAATGATTCCTAGCTAGATTCCCTATATACTAAATTTCATGAAAATCGTTGGAGCCGATTTCGAAATTCCAATACATATAAATATATATACAATAATTGCTCATTTAAATAAATTTAAGAAATAAGATATATAAGATATACACGACACTTTACAGAAGTTCTGGCAAATATGATGAATTCTGTTCTATCATCTAACTTTCGTCAAAACATTTACCTGGTAGGTGACAGGGAACCTCGGCTGGTGAGGGATGGACGGCTTCCAGGACAGTGTGAGGTGTCTGTCAGCCATGCGTGAGATGATGGGCTTGTCCGTCAGTGGCATCGGCACACCAGTTTTCTTCATCTTGTCGAAATCTGAGTACTGTTCTGATAGCGGCTTCTTATGGGACTGTGGTTCTAGACCCGCTAAGATAACAAGAATAATATTGTACTTAAAGATAATATGCTATGATTCATTACATAAAAATATCTTCTAAAGCGAAAATGAAATCTATTCTGGAAAGTGACTTTGGAAGACTCACTGTCATATATGAGGTTAGCCTGGCACTCGTCTTGCCCGTGAGGGTTGGAGATCCTACAGCGATAGACTCCAGCGTCGTCAGGCCCCACGCCTGATATAGTGAGCCGCAACAAGCCCGTCGACTCCTGCTCTATACGAACACGCTCACACGGGAACAACTTCATGTCGTTACGGAACCTGGAGATGAGAGGTTGTGTTTGGAGGAGAAACGGGCAAGAAATTAGAGTAATCATTAAGATAAAAGTGAAGTTTTACTTTAGATATGGTATAGCAACATTATTATAAGAAGATATCTCTGAAAACGTAACTAACACGCCGTTACTCAGAGTTTAACAGACGGTTGGTTCTTATAGTTAACGACATTTCGTTAAGAATTGTTTGCATACGTATATTTTTGTACAAAGCAACGATAAATTAACGACAAATCAATTGATTATTATTCAATTTATTTTATACGAATAAAGTTCAAAAATTCTTAAGCTCCAAGAAAAGTATAGCATCGTAGCAACTATTGAAACTGAATAAAAGTATATATTAAAGTTATTTGTATTGTTACCATTCGACTTCCGGGTCGGGTGTCCCGGTGACGCAGGCCGTGAACTTAGCGCTCAGACCCCGCAGAGCCTCCGCGTCACCCAGACGCTTCAAGAACGATGGAGGTTCTACCTTCTGCTTGCGAGCTCTAAGGATATAAAAATATTATATAGCATCATCACAATCGTGGTCTCTATTCGTAAGTTGTATATTTACATACAACTTACGAATAGAGACATATCTAATAATTTTTATCAATATTTTTAACGATATAATTTCTGCAGTTTGCATAAAGATTCGTACAGACATGCCGCCCAAACAAATTAAGACATTAATGTGAATGTAATTTTTCTTAAAGGATTTAAAGCCCTTAGTGTAGTAAGTTCTATTCGTATTTTGATTTTTCGTCTCTTAAATAAAATTTATGCATAACTTAATATGACTTCCAATAATCCAGAATATAAAAAGAATTCTACTTTAAAGATTCCAGGAATTTTAGTCCGATATCCAGTTTCCATCGCATAAGGATTAAAAAATTAACTTTGTTGATGGAAATATACGTTTTACATGACAAAATAGCCAGATAGTAACGAAGTTCAACTTACATTTTATCAACAACTTCAAGAGCAGCCTCACAGCTATCCTCCCCCTCCCTGTTCCGAGCCACACAGCGGTACAGGCCCGCGTCTCCCGGCGTCACGTCCCTCACATACAAGCAGCACGCGTCACCGTCTCTCTTCAAACTGTACTTGTCAGATGGCTTAAGTAGCACGCCGTCCTTATACCAAGATACTTCGGGAGAAGGCACGCCTGTCACACGAGCAGGGAACTTCGCGTCGAAGGTCGGCAGCTGAAAACGAAGTGTGAAATGATTGTCAATCTTCTATATATATATATAAAAATGGATTGCTGTTCCTTAGTCTCGCTAAAACTCGAGAACGGCTGAACCGATTTGGCTAATTTTAGTCTTGAAATACTCCTGGAAGTCCAGGGAAGGTTTAAAAGGTGAGAAAAATTGGAATAATTGCCGGGAAAACCCTAAAAACAGCTCTTTTCTATTTCCTATACAAACGTTTTTTTGACATTAGATTTGACAACTAACTAATATGTCAATCATTCTGTTTGATTGAAACAGGAAAAACCTGATTATTTATGGCCTCTAAGACGGAAAAGAGTTCGCCTGGTCAGCTATACCTACATATATTACTCTTGACCACACTAACGCGGACGAAGTCGCGGGCAAAAACTAGTATACAATATATTAGATATAAATCTCATAATGAATTTCATACAAATATGTTAGAGCTCCATAAGATCTTAATTGTTTTTGATCAGCAAAATTGTCAATAATTAGAATAAGAGTATTTTCTGGCTATAAAACTTTGAATGAAAGTTAGCTTATGTGCAATCTTCTTTAACATGTTAAAAAAACAATTTTTGCAGGCTATGGATACATGTAAACAGAATATCGATCTCACCTGTTGTAGGTCTGTGAATCGCTGCACGAACTTCGGCGGCTGGTATACTTTCCGTACGGTCAGTTTTCCGTCAGACGAGTCCTCGCCTAGAGGGTTCTCAAGCTTCACAGAATATGTTCCCGAGTCTCCTACCTCCAGTGGATTGATCTCCAATCCCACCTGGTAGGAAAATAGTCGCAGTTAATATTAACAAAAGTATTTTTAATACTTTCAGAGTCTAAAGAAATGAAGAATCATTCCATTATTTATTTTAAACTAGCTTTCCGCCCGCAGCTTCGCCCGCGTGGAGTTCGGTTATATCGCGTTTCCAAGAGAACCTTACAAAAGTCTGGGATAAAAACTATCCTATGTTCTTTGTCAAGGTCAACTCCATCTCTGTACTAAATTTGATTAAAATCAGTTCAGTGGTTTATGCGTGAAAGCGTCACAGACAGACGGACAGAGTTACTTTCGCATTTATAATATTAGTAGGGATATCTATAAATCTATTTCAATTATATTCTTTGAAGGTAACAAAAGTGTTATAATTAATTATACAGAATATTGTATTATGATTGATTAGAGTAATAAAAACGAACCCTCTTTCCGTCACAGGTAAGCAGAACTCTATCGTTAGGTGTGAGCGGCTTCCCGTCTTTAGTCCACGAGACCTTGGGTACAGGATTCCCTGTGAAGGGCGCGCTCATGATGAGTGGCTGGCCCTCTTCACCGGTCACATCTCGCAGGCCGTGGATCAGTTGAGGACGTTCTTGAGGGCTGGAGGCGTCCTCACGACCTGATAACAAAAAAACATAATGCAATTAGTTTTTTGATTTCCATTTGTTACTTTGAGCCTAACAGACATACCAAAAAAATTAATATAGTCTATATTAATGAATGCGAATAACTAATGTTTAGAGATGGTTTATTTTCCATTAAGAACAAAGTTCACTTACATAGGAAACTTAAACTAGTAACATAATAATAAACATTTATAAAGTTAATGGTGACCTTATTTATACGAACATTCAAATATAATTAGAAAGTTTGACAGTGTGTTTTTAATTTATCCTTAAATTTCAAAAAAGATTTTTCATGAAATATTTCTTTCGGTAGTCTATTGTACATGATACGTTCCCTCAAATTGTATAGTTTTGTTACCATAATGTTTAGTTCTAGGCTTAGGTATTTGTAATTTATGTATATTTCGTGTATAGTATGTGATTTAGTCTTAAAAGAAGTTTATGTGTGTATACAGGGTGTATGAAAAACTGTGTCAACCCTCTTAACTACGTTATCAGTATCGATAATGTAACACAATAAAACAACTTACATTTACAAACTCTTCAATAAAAATAATAAAATTAAATATTAAATGATTATTATATGTAGAGTAACAAAATGTTTGTACCCACTGGTATAACACGATGACACGCAATGACGTCATCACAGCTGCTGCGCTACTAGTGACGACCTTGAAGTTACTTTCACATTATTGAAAATATCGATATTTAAAAAATCATAACAATAAATAAATATTTAATATTAATATTATTTCGATACTTATTTTGATATATCAAACATTAATATTATGTTTGATTGTAAAACACCATTTTTAACAGAAATAGATTAACAATTTATCCTAATAATACAACATATGTAGTTAATTTACCTGAACAAGTGTCAAATTATAATATTTATTATTAATAAAAGTTATTTAAAATGAAATTATTTTAATGTGAAAAGCATAACTATTTATAGCAATATTGAAAATGTCGATAGAATATTTATCGATATAACTAATTTTTACACTTTCAAATCTCTATTGGAACAAATAACAGAATAGTAATAATAACGCCAGCGGCCCGTCGCCTGCGGTCACTGGTCACGCATGCGCCGTAGCGACTATACGGTGTCTTGACCTTGTATGAGTCAGATGTTTGAAACATTCTTTCGAAAAATGTCGATTTAAAACTTACTTAGCCTATGCACTGTAACTAACTTCTGCTTGATTTTTTTTAAGTTATACTATTTTTTATAATAAGCTTATACTTATATGTATACGTGCCTTCAAGGGTTGACACAGTTTTTCATACACCCTGTATATCTTGAGAGAATTTTTCTTATAAGTATGCATGTTTTGTATAATTGTGCAATGGATAGTGTATCAGTTTTCTTGTAAAGTTCTTTGGTTGGAAAGCGGTAGTCCAGTTGGTGTAGTGTTTTTAATAGTTTGTTTTGTGATATTTGTAAATCTTTTAAATTAGTTTTGTGTGCAGATTACCATACTTCTATTAAATATTCAAGTAAGGGTTTGCGGCAGTGGTTGGAAACCCATGCTTAGATAGCGATAAGCAGTTAGCTCGTCGTGGAATACTTATTTTCAAAGATCGTATGTGTGTTCTATTGCACAGTTCAATATAAACGTTTTGTTGTAATAGTTAAAGTCTACTTTAACTAAGCACTGCTTGAATAAAAATATATTTTTTTAAGTAATTAGATGAACCCGTCTACGCGGTGACCATAAAAAGCTAGTTCGATTGTTGTGTGTGACTCACCGGAGACAGTGAGGGGCGCGCTGGAGGTCATCTCGCCTTTATCATTAGACGCGATCACTGAGTACACCCCGGCGTCGCTCGGAGACACATTAGACAGAAGCAGAGCGTGTGTCCCGTCAGGCTGAGACACCACGCGGACTGATTGACCGTCGGGAATCAGCTCCTTGCCATCACGAGTCCTGGACAGAATTATATAATGATTTACACGTTTATAATGATTTACAGTTAATAATTACAAGTTTATAATGATTAATAGTTACAGTTATATAATGATTAACACGTTTTAAATAATGTTCAAATAGATGGTTTCGGTTTTTACCATTTAATAGAAGGCGGCGGGTGACCCAGCACCTTCACTTCCATCTTGACAGGGAAACCTTCGATAACTTTAGCCGGCTGTAGTTCTGCGATGAATGCTGGTTTACGTTCCTTCTGACCCACCTATCAATAATTCGGGAATTAGAAAATGTTTTTTTTTGTTCATTCAATGGTATGTTTAGTATAATGATATTCTTATCTATCTTTTTTTATAATATTTTTGTAATTGAAAATTCTTTTGTTATCTTTATATTTTATGTAATATTTTTGTAATCAATAAGTATTATTATTAAGCAGCTAGACAGTAATCTTCAGCAGTGCTGTGTATGTCTGTAATTGGTACACACATGAGATAAGTGTCAGTTTTAAATGTTTAGTTTTAAGTGTTTAATGTATGTACTGTTGATGTGCCATTCAAATAAATAAATAAATGGTATATGGTATAATTCTGCAATAACTATACACGTTAATAGATTTTTGAAACTATTATGAATACGAACTTCTATTTTAGCTTTGGATTCCGCTTCTCCGAGTTTGTTTGTAAGGACCAAGGAGTAGACGCCGGCGTCTTCGGGCCTGGCGCTGTCAATACTGAGACCGATGATTCCTCCTGGACTGTTGATGAAGTTCACGGCTTGACTGGGTCTCAGCGGGATACCTGTATATATAAATAGTTAGACACAAATTACGCAAGTGCTATTGCCTGAGAAAATTACAACTCGTACTAAATACAAGTATTATTCTAAAGATCCGAAATGCATCGAATACAAAAAACGGTATTTTATTGTCAAAATTTTAAGTTTTACGTCTTATTCATTGATTTTTGAAAGCGACAATACAAAGAATTTAATACATATATTGATGGTGGTTAATTCGATTAATTGAGAACTTGTTTTTTTTGGTACAAAATCGGTTAAAAGAATAAAAATGTCGTTTCTTACCATCCTTGAACCATTTCACCTCCGGCGCGGGGAAGGCCATCACTCGCGCCTGCATCTTCAACGGCTGACCAACTACCACCTTAGTATCTTCCAGCTCCTCGCTAAATGAAGGTTTGCGGGGAGTTGCTGTAAATATAAACAATTTTTATTTAATATGAAAAAAGAAATCATTTCGTGACAATTTTAAGAGTTTTGACTCTGTATGTGTATCATTCCTAAATGACTCGAGTGATGTAATTATTAATATGTTATGATAAAAGTTTCTAGCGATTAAAACATAAGATATATAAATTAAACTGATATTTTACGTAAAAACTACATACTGAATGACACGAATGACCTTCACATCTCGTCTGTCCGTGATCACGGTTGATGAAAAGTAACCGAAATTTCAGGAGTATTTAGTCTTTGCAATAATAAAATATATAGTATAATCCGAAAAATATTAGTTTCATTTAAATGAATACACGAAGTCTTACATCTCATTATTTTAGAGATATCCCTGAGAGGAAGAAGTTTTTCAAATATATGTACCTAGACATGGCTTTGTCTATTCTTATGTTATATAATAACACACTCACGGTTAACGGCGACCGCACACAAAGCCATATGCTCGCCACTAGGGTTGGTGATGATTAGCTTGTAAGCGCCGCAGTCAGCAGGCGTGGCTCGCTCGATGTACAGCTTGACTGTACCGTCCGGCTGGCAGCTCTGCTGTACGTGGCTGTCTGACGGAGATAACTCAACGCCGTCCTTGAGCCTAACATGGATCACTTTTATAATCTAAATTCACTTAGTGTCCACCAACTCAAAAGGCTACTATGCTGCCTTTGTATGATGGCTCCCAAACCTAATACTCGTACATGGGTACATATGTCTGCGATCAATATTTTAATGACCAAAGTGACTTGGTAGAAATTTCATCACCTGCTCTAGACTACAGTGGTGTATTAAGTTGTCAACTCTTTTATATTTTCCTTCAAGTCTCATGTCTCCACCCCATAGAGTATAGACGTTGGAAAAAATGTCTTATCATTAACAAATTTCAGGTTTTCCAAATATATGTACAGGCTAGTATATAAATGACAAGGTCCTACCATTTAGCTTTCGGTATTGGGCTGCCGTCAACTTTGACCTTCAGCTCCAGCGGTTCTCCCTCATCCACCTCCTTCTGCCGGTCCAGTTTGTGAGAGAAGCCCGGAGGAATTTGTGCTAGCGAGATTACAGCCGAGCACTCCGCTGAGCCTGATACACTGCTGGCTACCACCGTGTACTGCAGAAAACACCATACAAAGCTACATCACATTTTGTTACCAAAGCGACAGTTTTTTGTTATTTATTACAAATGCTGTCTTAGAATTCGAAAGTATATTTATCAAAATCTTTTTTCGTCACATAAAGATAGTGACAAATCTATTAAAAGCATATTCAAAGCATTTAAACCAATATAACACTGTGATATTTAAATCAGTATTTCGTCATTAGTCCATGTTACACTGGTACATACATTTCCCGCGTCTTGAGCTCCAAAGTGTTTGATCTCCAGTTCGCTGTCCACTTGACCCCCAACCACTGTACTGACGGTGTGTCTCTCATCATTTTCCACCGGTTTCCCTTCTAAGAACCACTTGACGTCAGGCTTGGGCACGCCGTCACAGCGGACCCTCAATGTAACATCTTCATAGTCCTTTACGATCTGCTTCTGCAGAGGCTTCACGAACGTAGGCTTGTCCGCTGGAAGTTGTTAAATTGAACAGCATTTATTATCAAAAATTCATATTACTTGTAATAATGACAATTAACCAAAATATCAATGTTATTATAGTATATGGTCCCAAGCTTGTAACCATTTATTTACAGAAAAATATTAACTAAAAGAATTATTTATTATATGTATTTTATGAAAGTTGCAATTCATGAAATTAAAATAAAAATCTTCTCTTAATTCTGAAGTTGCTTGTAATTGATATTATATAATCATTTGCAATTTGTCTTTAAAAAGCATTTCAATTGACATTCATAGAATTTCTTAGTAAAGTTTAATTTTTTTTAACGTGTAAGAAAAAGTATACTAGTTAACATTTTCGATCACAATTTCATACAAAAATGTATGTTTTATTGTGAAGCTCAAAATTTTTTCAATTTTAATGGTTACATATATATTCTCGTGTAATCTTTTATTTTACCCTGTGTTTCTTTTTTTTGTGCCAGAATTATTATTTTTCTCAGTTTTTATGCCTCTTTTCGTTTGTCTTTCAATAAAGGCTTGTATATAATTGTTGTGTGTATCACTCACTGTGCACATTCAGTTTGGCCTGTTGTGTGGTTTCTCCCAGGTTGTTGGTGGCGGTGACGGTGTAGGTGCCGGCCTGCTCCAGCCTCACGTCCTTAATCACAAGCTGGAACCGTTCCTTCTCCCGGTCTTCAAGAATTTCGTAATGCTCTGACTTTTGGATTACGTAGCCATCTTTGCTCCTGATGAATAAATTATGTTTAAAAATTATGCATGATTATGCAAAACACAGATTTTTTTATAAAATTTAAGCCAGTTTATGTGAATTTGAGAGATTTAACAATAAAAGTATCTATGTATGCTTTTCCTTAAATAATCTGTAATCATATGACGATGTCTAAATGTATTTTACATTTCGGTAATATTTTATTAATTCTGAAAATTTCAAAAAGAATAAAACTTGTGAGCTATTATTTATTAGGTCTTATGTTTTTCACTAACCATTTGACTTCAGCAACCGGATTGGCCTTGATCTTAGTGATGAAGGTGACTTCTTCGAAGGGCACAGTGGTGATGTCTTTGAGAGGCTCTACTTCAGGCCGCAGAAGGATGTCCAGTCGAGCTGATGACTCGCCTACACCGTACTTATTCTTGGCCGTGAGAGTGTAAGTTCCCGTATCTGTGTGGAGGCCTGGCGGAAGAATAAAGTTTGGATAACTGTTTGATAATGAAGAAAGAAAATAAGTTATATTGCGTCTCATAAAATTGTGCTTAAAAAGACAAGCTTAGTAAAATAGGACAAAAAGCTTAATAAAATAATAGATTTAGAGTGAAAAGTTATAATCTTATTTTAGTCCAAGGTCGATCAAATTCTCTTTAATGATATAAAGTGTTTTAGAAATAAAATAAAGCGACTCTAGAGTGTTGACGTATATTTTGCCCTAAGATCTCTCTATTTTGAATTTCAATATAAATTGGATCATTAATTAATAGATAATGACGTTAAGAACCTCTTCTAAATTAACAATTTCTCACCACTGGGTAGATGAAGGCTGAAAGTGCACTCCTTGATGCCATGATCAAGTTCCTTGGTCTCCTGGTTCATGACCAGGGTAACATCAGGCTGTAGTTCGTTTCCGTTGAGCGCCCACGACACGTGAGGTAAGGGGTCCGCCGTACACACCGCGGTTAGCGTGGCCGGGGTCCGCTGCATCGCGCTCACAGCTTCCAGAGGTTTCGTGAAGATTGGCTTCCGAAGCTCGGCAACCGCTGTGGAAAAGGCATATAACAAGCTCTTATTGACCATACAGGATAAAACTTAAAATCGCTCCCAAGATTTCTTGACGATGATGTTTAACTTTTTCTTTAAGAAATACGAAATAAATATATTTTTTTGTTTCTAAAATTAATAAGACCACAAGTTAATATGGTATAGATTATAGAAAATATCATCTACGAATACGTACGTGATACGGACAGCTCAGCTTGCAGAGTCTCTTTACCCAAATCGTTGATAATTTCAGCCTGCCATTTACCGGCGTCCTTCATGTCCACGGAGTCAATCTTTAGCTTGTAAAGATCTCCGTCGTTGGAGACGTGGACTCTGTCATCAGGCTTCACTTCCTGTCCGTCATGGAGCCAGCGCACGGTGGGCTGGGGAGTACCCGAGGCTTCCACGGTATAAACCAGAGGCAGAGATTCGTGAGTGTGTCCATCCTTCATGCTGCTGTTTTTTAATTTGGGGGGTGCTGAAAGAATTTTAAATTTAGAATCTTTATCTAAACCGGTTTTAAATGTCCTTAAATGTCTTTGATAAAATTGTAATATTGATAAGAAATTTATCTTTCTGAAAGCAATAACTCATTACTCCATTTTTTTAGACCTTTTAAAAAAGACATTCAAGAAGACTTAGCAAATATATTTACAATTTCAAGTTTTTAAAAAACGATACTCTTCACCAAAGCCAGATATTGAAGCTGCTAGAATTTTTAAACAAAAATATGTACATTTTGTAGACCTGAAAACATGGCTATATATTTACAGCAGTTAGACAAAATATAGACTTACCAGGTAAAGAAACTTGTCGTGTGTGTTGTGTTTGCTTGTGTATACGTACCAGGTTACAGTAGGAGACAAGGAAATAAGGGCGTCTACAAGAAGCACAAACGCAAAAACTATCCACACAAAACATATTTTTATAAATGAAAAAGTACCTTATAATTGTTGACGTTGTTTAGCATCTTCTGCGGAGTGTGACCCAAGGATTAGTATGCCAGAAGGGAATGTTATTACGCATGCGCGCTAAAACAGATATACAGTACAACATTAGTACATTTAAAGTAGCCGTTCAGTTAAATTCATTTATCTGATGTTTTCAACCCACATGCATTAAATTGAGAATCCGAAGGGAGAAAACAGGAGATACAGTTAGGCAACAATAGCAATTTTTCATATAAAACAAACAAAATGAAAACTTATTACACCTCTAAACTGCGTAGCGTTACTTTAAAATATATTATTTCAGCCGCGCGCGTCAGTGACTTTCTTTTTCGTATTAGGTTTTATTGACTTGACTATTACCTTTTTTGTCTTCTTGATCAAGAATGTCATCTAATATGCTCCTTTGTCTCTGGCTACGTCTCAGTAAGTCTTCTATTCCACTGTCTTCCTCTTCAACACTGAACAGACTATTGTTAAGTTTTTTCTTTCTTTCCACTGAGGATTCGGCAACATCCTTTGTTATATTATTAAGGTTTTTAGTAGGGCTTAATACGAGTTCTTCTATAATACGATTCTTAACATCGTCTATCTTATTCTGCACTGAACTGTTATCGTCAAATTCTTTCGATATGTGAATAATTTTCTCTGTGATATCGTTCTCAAAGACCTTTTGACTTTTTTCTTGTAATATAATTGATTCCTCTTCACCTTCGTCTGTGAAGAAATCTTCCTTAAATGACGATTGGCGCACGTATGAGTCTCTACTGAATACTTTTTTAGTTTCGTCTATTTCGAAGATACATTTAGAAAGGTCCTCAATGGAAATTTCTCGCGAGAGCGAGTCGTTTTGCCAGCTCATATCATCTTCTGACATCGACATAATTGACAGAGTTCGGGCGCCAAATTGTCTGCCATGTCTCGAGTTGGTCTCCGCGTCAGAATCGGTCTGGGGTTCCTCGATTATCCCGTATGTGCCCCGTCTGATATGCTCTGGTATTGTATAATATCCGAGTTCGGATAGATAGTAACTGTGACTAGCGATCTCTTCTACTTCTAATGAAGTCGTGTGCGGTTTATTCGGTCTTAAAACCTTTCTATCACATTCATCATCATCATCATAATATACAGCGCTTGATGTCATTTTATGTAAAGTGCGCGTTTCGGCTGGACCTAGCAGTTAAAATATTATTATCGGAATTAAATATTTGAATTCGATATTACTGAACATGCAATGATGTGGTATTTCTGTTTTAGATCATACGTCTGTCAATCTACATGATAATATGGTTAATAATATGGTCAGTTAGAAACCGGAAGGAAAGGGATAAAGCTGAGTACTGACCTGTGACAATAGCGCCATGAGAGCGGGTGCTGCTTACTTTAGATACTATAATTGAACCATCGTCACCAGACTTGAACGTGGTTACTGTTTCGAAAACTCGCCCTAAACAACAAAACACACTTGGGATGTTAAATAAAACACGAGAGCATGCAACACTATGAAAACGTGAGTTTGCCTAAAAGCTGTTTGCTGATTGAAGCCCAAAGCGCATTTTATACCTTCAGTTTCAGCACTCAATGGTTCTTCAACAATAGATTCTTTTTTAACAGACTTGCGTTTTGGTGAAACAAGATCAGCTTCGATTTCCTTCTTTTCTATTAATTCTGGTTTAGTAACATCTCTTTCAACTTGCTTTGGTTTATCAATTACTTCTTCAACAATTGGCTGTTTTATTTTTTCATTATGATTTTCACCCCAAATAGATTTGGTCTCCGCCTCTTGCGTTTCCGAAAACGATTTCTTTGCTTTTCGTGGGACATTTTCCGGTTCATTCATCTCAGCCAATTTTACTTTTTCATCGTTTTGTATGTCATCCCAAAACGATTTTTCTTCAATAACTTCGGGTTCAGAAACAGATTTTTGTGATTTCATTGGAACGGGCTTGTCAACTTCTTCAATCGCCACAGGTTTGCCTTTCGTCTCATCTTCTTTTGCTAAAGTTTTCTTTTCAATCTTATCTGGCTCAGTGAATGATTTCTGAGATTTTACTTTAACAGGCTTTTCAACATCTTCAGATTGAACTGTTTTTACCTTAATATCAGTTTCATCAGCCAAAGATTTTTCTTCAATTTTTTCAGGTTCTGTAAAGGATTTCTGGGATTTAAGGGGGACTGGTTTATCAACTTCCTCATTTACAACGGCCTTCACTTTTACTTTAGATTCATCATCCAAAGACTTCTCTTCCGCCACTTCTGCTTTCGTTTTTTCTTTTTCAGCAGTTTTTTTCTTCTCAGTGTCAACGAAATCAATTTGTTGTTTTTGACATTGATTCTCATCTTCCAATTCTTTTTCGAGAATATTTTCTTTCTTGAATCTCGAATGAACTTCTTTAGCTATTAAACATAATGAAAACATGGTAACAAAAATTAATTGTGCTTAGTATAAAAACCAAATGTCAAGTGATTCATAGTGTGGGGGCAAACAAGTATTCCAGTCTATATTGAATGCCTCAAATATTAAATACTAATTCTACCAACATCCTTAAAGGGGGCATACGTTTAAAACTAAACGTGCAATGCTGTCATCTACTGGTAAACTACACTACTATTTGATTATTCTGACAAAATACATGTCTTATATTGTGCGTGTCTAATACCTTACCAGTGTTGTGTGTAATGTTGCCGGAACTGTGATGCAAATCAAATTCTTACACCATTAATGTAGTTTTATAATAAAACACCATCAATACGAGTACAATATATGTATTTGTGATGGTATATGATGATAGTACTTCTTATTTATATCTCTAAGTAATGTCTTCCTTGCCTTTAAGCAGTACTTACTATGAACAGTGACAGTGCTCTTGCTGGACACACTGCCCATTTCATTTTCAGCTCTTACTTCGTATTCTCCTCCGTCCTCTTCTTTGACCAGAGTCACAGTGAGATGATAGTTCTCCAACCTAAGGGGATGTTATCCAACTTGTATTTATATGTATATTCACACACACATTTATACAGGGTGACTGGTGAATTACTATCGATATTTGAGGACGTGATATTTGACGATCATATATGACGAAATAAAAATTAATATAACATAAATATTAATAAACTTCTAAGTCAAGTTAACCAAAAGTTATGTAATTAATTACGCATCGTATGAACACCCTACAGATTAGGTATACACACACACTCACACAGACGCGGCGGCGGCGTAGTGTTGTAGAGAAATATAATGAAAATTATTTTACGTCAAAACTCAAACAACCGTTCCTTAAAAAAGAAAATTTTTCAGTATGACTATTGGTGCATGAGTAAAACCTTAAATGCATTGATTATTCTCAATTAAGATATCTGATAAAGTTTTTTTTTATAAAATCAAACCTGTATTAAAACTCATAACAAAAAATGCTACTTTCATTTTATGATATATTTTTCAAACATTATACGCACGCGTCCACACTTGGAACACTTGGAACGTGTCCACACTTTATTTATTTATACGGAAATTTGGTCAAAAATTAAGTACCTATTTTTTTTACATAATTCGAATGAGAATCATGTACCGAGTATGCTCCTTAAATATTGATAGTAATTCACCAGTCACCCTGTATATTCAAATTTTAGAATTATTTTAGATACTTTAAGGCTTATATTTATTGTTGGTGGTGGGATTTTTATTAAGGGAACGATGGGACTAACATTTAGTTTTGCTGCTAAAAGTCCCAAAATAAAATCAGAAAAAAAAGAAAAGATTTATATATTCAGAGTTACAAGTTACCTCTTAGTGTCACGTTCAATCTTTATCCTAGCGTCCGTAGTGACCTCTTTGCCGTCCTTGAACCATTTGACCTTTGGTTCAGGACAACCCTCAACCTCGACCTCCATTTTCAGAGTCTGACCAGCGTCCACCGTCATGTCGACCAAGCTCTTTGTAATGCGGGGTTTTCCTAATGATTAATATTAATGTTACGTCGTGTATTATTACGCAATATTTAAAATAATCTTAGAATTATTCTATTGAAATATTTAGTTTGGGTGGCTATAAACAAAAAATTAGGCAGCAGTACGTATATATTATTGATCACGTACTGTTAACAGTGAAGGTGGCCTGACAGGAGTCTTCACCCAGTTCGTTGGTCACCTTACAAGTGTATCGTCCGGACATTTCCGCGGACACCTCTTTAAGGATCAGCTTATGACTGCTGCCGTTGTCTACGCGACTGTACACTGACTTCTTCTCTGTTATTTCAACGTCTCCTAAATACCTGAATAAAAAGATAAAAGCAGGTATAAGATCATTTTTAATATAATTCTACCTGGTGGTAGGTGAAAATGAACAAAGGTGATGAACGGACTACCCCAGTAATGACCTAGTAACTCTTGTATAGAACCTTGTAAAATTTTTGTTAATGGAAATAAAATTGCAGGAAAATTATTCCAGTGTTGGTGTTAGTATGACGAATGAGAGAAACTCTTTTCGTCTAGAGACAAGGAAGGTTTTCAAAAGAGTATAAAGACTCGTCGTGAGTTTGGCGTTCGATAAATAAATAACTATGAAAACAGGCAAAAAATATTGCATTATATTTTTTATCATCCCTTTAGTCATCAGAACTTGCTGAATCAGTTCCGTTTACTTATTTATATAAACTACTTCGTCAGATTCATCACCCATAATTTAACTAAGAATTATTTTCTAAGTTCTTGGACAGTAACAAGTGTTTTATAAAGTTGTTCATACCACTGCACGCTTGGTTGCGGGAAGGCGTCTACATCCACCGTGAACTCCACATTAACGTCCCCCTCGGCCGCCGTGAGGTCGGTCAGCCGCTGAGTGAACACGGGCCCGCGACGAACGTTCACTGAACATGAGTCACTCGTGCTGCCTAACGTGTTACGGACCTGAGGAGATAGGGAAGATCAGTGAGGACGGTTATATATAGGTAAACAAACTACGTATGTATAGGTAAACAAACTACGAGACAGGGAAGATCAGTGAGGACGGTTAAATATAGGTAAAAATAAGAATATTTTACTTAATGTTAGAAACAGCCTACGTATCAATAGTCGTTTAAAAAATATTTGCACGCTTGGAGCATTTTATGGAGCAGTCACAAGACATGCACGCACGTAGGCACAAGTGATTACAACACGCCAGTATTACGATATATATTTAGGAATTCAAATATCTCTGTGTATGACTTTGTATCTTGACTTCGGAAATACCTAAATTATTTTTGACTCTTAAAATACGGTATTAATTAATGTATGAGTTACATACCTCGCAGGAGTATTCCCCGCTGTCAGCACGAGCGGCGGACGTGATGACCAGAGAGTGAGCCTGGCCTTTTGATGACATCTTCACTGCAGTAGACTCCTTAAGCTCTACTTTATCTTTGTACCTGGAATGAGAACAAGATATTGTATTTATGGATTTACTATTCGCTTTAACCAAACTATTGTGTCCGCTGTCAGTACATTGTTTTTGTGTTTGTCAGTACATTATTGTTATTGATTTTTAACTTAATATTTTTCCTGTTGTAGTTGTTATTTTATTTTATTTTCCTTTTTTGTATACATAGGATAAGTGTTACTCTATTTTTATTTTGTTATTTGTTTTGTAGTGGTGTAATCTTTTAACCAATAAACGGGTTTTATTATTATAGCAATATTTTTATGGGTATATCCATATCTAGTACTACTTTCAAGGGGTTTTATTGCAGTATTTCCAGGTTTCCGTCATGTTTCTTACCAGGTCACAGTAGGAGCAGGGTCTGCCTCCGTGTCCACGGTGAGTGTGAGGGTCTCCTTCTCGTCACAGATCCGTTCTCCCCCCATCTTCTTGGTCACTCTCGGCGGTGAGGACACGTGCCACTGCCAGAAGTCTGAACATTGGTTCACTTCGTTCCTGGGGGAAGTACGATAAGGGATAGTACTTAAAAATATTTAAAAAAATATATATTTTTTGTTATTGCAATTTCACTAAATATATTATTATACATCCTTCCGTTAGTTATCTTATCAAGCATCAAAATGTTTTGTTGTTTTCCTAAGGTCTAATACCTTGAAACAGGAAGTTCTCTTCATCAATCTACTACAGGTATGAATACATATAGATAATATATGTATGTATGGGTCATATTTTTAGCTAGTTGGTGTTTAAATAGATGATAAAAGATAGTAGGCAACACTAACGTAGCAACAACAGAATATGAGCCGGTGTCAGTCAGCTTGCAGTCCGTGATAATGATCTTGTAAAGTTCGTCCGACTCCTTCACTATGCGGATCCGTTCCGAGGACTTGATTTCGACGCCGTCCTTAAAGAACTTCAGTTCTGGAGCCGGAGATCCTTCTACCTCGATGGTCACCTCGTGAGTTGAACCCGCCTGCAAGGAGAGGAGATAATATAAATTAACTAGAAGACCCGGCGAACTTCGTATCGCCCTATAATCCAGAAATATCTGTTACGTTTTTTTATTTATATTTTTGGAGTTTACCTATTAAAGCCATAAATCTCCTTGTTTTGAAGTGCGATAGAATAATTGACATATTAGTTGTCAAATCTAATGTAAAAAAAAACGTTTGCATCAACAACTATTAATAAATCAAAAATTAATTAAAAAAACATTGTCCAGCGGACAAAATTGTGAATCTAAACCATTCCCAGATCCCCTTGAACACACACAAAAAATTTCATCAAAATCGGCCCAGTCGTTTGAGATAACTTCAGTGACATACACACTCACAGAAGAATTATATATATAAAGATAAGGCTTACAAGTATTGTCACATAATATTAGTAAAATGTTTTTTGTTGTGGTGTGATTAATTACCATGCAGCTCTGGTTTTCAATTTTCTTCTTAATCCTGGGCGCGGCCTTGACCACCAGGTTGACGGTGGTGGTGTCTTCGCCCAGGTCGTTCTCGGCGCTGATGTGGTACACGCCGGCGTCAGCTTCACACACGTTTTTGATAACGAGGGACATGTTTTCATCGTCCTCGTGAAGAAACCTGTAATTAGGACCAAAAAACTTACAAAAAACTGAATTAATAACGTTTCTGGGTGATTGCTGTTTATAAGAATTTCATGTCATATGAACGAGTTGAACTGAAAGGCACATCTCAAATCCTTAATAGCAATTTTACAGCGTTCTAGCCATTTAATAAAAACTAGGGTTGTCAATCACTAACTTGTGTCTGGCATCAGCTTCAACGACTTTTCCATCGTGTTTGAACACCACTGTAGGTTTGGGGTAGCCCTTGCAGACCAGCTCGAGTATAGCCGATCCACCGCTGGACACTACAGCCTCGCGGTGCTCGATCACCAGCTCAGGTTTCTGGGGTTCACGGTGAAGGTAGTTCACCGCTCCTATTAATTAAACATCTGAATTAAATATGATTCCTTTCTTCTCCAATCATTTTCATACCTACGAGTATTATTGTTTTACCTTTTGTAGAGGAACTTTGGGCTTTTGATATGATTATGTTGTTATAGGTTATTGGTATTCGAGTAATATTCTTTCATGGAAAGTTTTAAGTATTTAAAAAGTAAAGAAAGTAATAAAAATATACTTGTAAATGAGAATCTAAATATAAAATATATATACAGGGTGACTGGTGAATTACTATCGATATTTGAGGACGTGATATTTGACGATCGTATATGAAAAAATAAAAATTAATATAACATAAATATTAATAAACTTCTAAGTAAAGTTAACCAATAGCTATGTAATTAATTACGCATCGTATGAACACCCTACAGATTAGGTATACACACACACTCACACATACGCGCGCGGCGGCGTATTGTTGTATCAGCACGCCGCCGCACGCGTCCAAACTTGGAACACTTGGAACGTGTATACACTTTATTTATTTATACGGAAATTTGGTCAAAAATTAAGTACCTATTTTTTTACATAATTCGAATGAGAATCATGTACCGAGTATGCTCCTTAAATATTGATAGTAATTCACCAGTCACCCTGTATATATATATATATATATATATATATATATATATATTGGTTCGTAATTGTATTCATTGTATTATTTATTCTGGATATACTTTATTGAAATAATAGTTTATACATAAATGTAAATTTATAAAATTTTTTGAATCATTTAATTATAACATAAAACTAAGTCTAGGTGTCTGTTCATTGTGTAACCCCTAAAAAAAGTTATGTTTTCAAATATTAAGAAGAAAGCCTTGATGGGCTCAATTTAATATCACTCATTATATACATATGTCGTAGAGAATACCTTTTATTTAAGTAATTAATAATTATGGATGATTAAAACATCAAGTGTCACCCGCAAAGCCACATGTGTAATTGCAGTCACAGCATTGAGTGTTAGCTGGTATAAATAGAGGCGAGGGTACAGATTAAAACAGTCTCGTTCGAGCCGTTAGAGGGATCGGACCTCTTCTAAATAAAGGATTCGTCAAATAATCTACGAGGTTACCTTTAAAACCTTGACAGACTGGCGATAATCAAGAATAAAGGCATCTGTGACATCAGTGAAACTAACGTCACAGTATTTAAAAACAAAGGAAGTGGTTCTAGATCCAACACACACACACACAAACCCATATATAGTTAAGGTTATTCGTACCTTGTACGGTAAGCTCCGCGGAGCAGGATATGTTCCCGGTGCTGGTCTTGGCCACACAGGTGTAGAGGCCGGCGTCTTCAGGCTTCACGTGCTGGAACACTAGCGCCAGGGAGTCCTCGTCATCCTCCAACAATACCTGCACAGTTTTCATCAATATAGTACTTAATCATTGTAGCGTATACCTACATACATATGTAGACAAAGTAACTGGTGTGGAAGCCTTGATATATAACTTAAACATAATATATATTGATAAATAAATGTGTTTAAAAACTGTGGTTTTTTCGAGCAATCAAAATTCTAGAACATAGAATAGTTGAATGACAAAATCGCTATAGGTCATTCGCTTTAAAACCACTCTCTTCAAGTACTACGGTAGTAAGCTTAAAATATCATCTGACCTTAAATCTTTCTTCAGGGTCGAAGTTGACTCCATCTTTTTTCCATGTAAAGCTGGGTTTCTCTCCTTTAGGCAACAGACCTTCCCCGCCCGGCGGCAGTTCTCCGAAGATGTTCTTGTCATCTGCCAAACAGTTAACTTCTATAGTAACATAAAGAGTCATACTTACGGTAGCGTGAACTTTATTTACTTTCTACGGAGTTCATCTTTATAAATTCCACCTAACAACTATGATCGTGTTCCGTTCTTCATAATAAGTGCATCCACTGTACATATCAAGTCACTACTGCTTAAAATAGACCTACGAAGTGCCAAAACCATTGAGATTTATTGATGATAAGAATTTATTGAATTTGTTCCACCGCTGGCTAATTAGTTCCAATGTTAATGCGAGGGACCTTAAATCGTATCATTTGAAGGAGATAAAAATAAACATATATATGATGTTATTAAATACATATAAAATACTCTGGTGTCATGTAAATTTAGCCACAATTATATATAACTTGTAACTACCTCGTAAACAAACACTGGCCCAGCTCCAAGTGTTGTTCAGTGAACGGTGATCTGTGTTTTAATATTAAGCGCCTGGGGTTTCAGTGATTCGTATTTGATTCATTGTATTTAAAATCATTCAAATACATTAAGGATAATATTAGCTTTACTTACTCTTAAACAGAAATGCAAATCTTATGATGTTGAAATAATATGTACCTAGGTTTAATTTATAGATTTTAATATCAAATAATTGTTAAATGAAAGTTACGTTTCAAGAGGTTTGAGATCAATGATCATTGCAAAGACCTTGGAGGTTGTAAATAAAATACTATTTACAACCTACAATACTATTGACCTAAGCATTATGGTAACTAAATATATCCTCTTATTATAGACAGTAATTGTATATTAATAATTTTGTTAAGAGGTGCAGTGGGCTCTATCGAATATTATATATATACATATATAAGGCAACAAGGTATTTATTAATTTCTAATAGCGCTGATAGAAAAAATTCAGGCGCCATATTGGCCACTTAGTGGAAAGTCACTAGTCAGTTATGTAGCTATATTACTATGAAAGATCACATGATAGTTGGAAAACTGAGAACATGGAGTAAATGAAAAAGTCTAGTTTTTTTAGATTATTATTCCTTTCTTATTTCACTGAAGAAATTCAGGACTAAATAAAAAATCTGAATTGGCGGGAAAAGAACTCTTGGAAAGCAACGTTCCGCTTTGAATGCCGCTGTCAGATTGTACTCTGTATACGTTCTTGTTATAGACTCGGTATTTTCTCCTGAACTCTCAACTCCAGACCACTCTCTGTGTGCGCGGGTTTTAAAACTCGTGACAAATGTATAGTACTCACCAACAACAGTGACGGTAGCTTCACACTCAACCTCTCCATATTCGTTGACGGCCCGGCAGGAGTATTTCCCTGCGTCGTCACGCGTCACGTCAGGTATGACCAGCTCGTAACAACCGCTGTCGGCCAGCGTGCGGAGGATGCTGACTCGGTCAGACTGAGAGTTTGACACGATCTCCACACCCTCACGGTAACTGAGGGAAGGAAATGAGGGGATCATGGTTGGGGCTTCTTGGTAGATGAGTACTTTGTGTTAAAATTGTTTTGTAAATATGTAGAAATAGGTCTGAAAAATTAATATTTAATGAATGAAAAATTTGAAGAACAATGTATTTGTAACAAAGCACTGTTTCTATATTAAAATCGTTTCAGTAAAAATGTGTTCCAGATGAAGTGTACTGCAATACTTACAATTTAACTACTGGGTTTGGATTTCCCTTCACTCTGATCATGAAGCGAAGGAACGTGTTCAACAGGATCTCTGTATCCTTGAGAGCCACCACGAAATATGGTGCGTTAAGTGCATTCTTTTGTCGCCTCTCCTCTGGTGTCACTGTTATTATAAAATCCAACATAAAAGGTTTAGTTTAATCATCATAAACGTTTGAAAGAAGATCGAAGAAGTATTGTTATGTATAGAGTGATACGGTCACGTAGACATGCAAACAAAACTCTACTCAGTGGAAAAATACAGGAAAATTATACAGAGAGAAGACTACAGATAGGTCTAAGTGTTATACGCTTTACGATGACTTAATCGGTGATCGGTCTGAGCCATGCCTCGTGATCGTTAAACTTAAGTGTATTGTCGACGGAGAACCGGTTTCGGTGTACTGAATTAAAACTGAGGATAATAAAGATCATCAATGTTGTGGAATATTGTATCGAAAATACACCGAATTCGAGTGCACTCACGCTGGTGCACGACTAGCTGCGCGGTGCAGGTTGCTGTGCCTCGCTGTGTCTCGGCCAGCGCGGTGTACACGCCGGAGTCGTCCTCGCGGCAGTGCAGCAGCCGCAGCGTGTGAGCAGCGCCGGACGCCCGCCTCTCGACCCGGTCCGCCAGCTTGTCGGTCAGCGGCCGGTTGTCCTTCAGCCAGGTCACCTTGGCCTCGTCGTTGGACAGCTCGCACTCGAAGGTCACGTTCTCTCCCGCTGTGGAGCACACGCGTTACGCGAGGTCGGCGGAGCGGGTTAGTGTGTGTGTGGATGTTAGTACTACAAGCGTATATACAAGCTCTAGGGGTCTAGTCCCGGGTGCATGTGTGACTTACGCTCGATGTTCTGTCCTTCTAGTGTCTTCGTGAACACTGGCTTCCCTTCGCTGGACTCGGATCTCTTTACCGTTTTTGTTGAACCGTACTCATCGCACACAGAACCGTTCGACACGGTCTTCTTAGAGTACTTGCTCTTAGAGACACTGTCACCGTTTCTCAGGCTGCTATATTTCGATTCTACCACCGACTCTCCGTTCACGTTATCGCCGTCCAAGCTAGTTTCGATGTTCAATTTCGTTGACCGGCTCTCAATTTTGGAGCTGCCGGTTATCGAATTGCGTCCGTATTTGGAAGCGATGCTGTCAATTTTACTCATAGTTTCGGAATTTCCGTCATAACTAGCTTCCACACTGTACTTAGAAGATTGGTTTTCTATCTGAGCGTCCGAATCGGCGCTCAATCCGTACTTGGAGGCAATGCTATCAAGTTTACTGCCAGCGTTGGAGGCAGATTCAATCCCGTATTTCGAGGCTTCCTTGACTTCAAAACTTGATTCAAGGCCGTACTTGGAGCCAGCCTCAAGTTTGCTGGAAGCGGATGACGAGTATTTCGATTCGTAGCGTGAATTGCCATCTATAGTCGTGGCAGCTTCGTATCGCGCCTCAGAGCGGGCGCCACTCTCACGCCGCGAATAACTTGAGAGCCCGCCGTCGTTTGTAGAGGACTCGTAGCGACCACCCGAAGATAGTTTGCGGGTGCTGCTGGAGTATTCTGTAATTCGTTGGATAGATTTGTAGATAAATATTCTAATAAGCTGTTATTTAAAAAAAATATCTAAAGATATAAAAACTAATTCTAATAATCATACCTCCAGAGAGCCGCGACGTGCGGCTGTATCTCGACATCTCGTTTTCTTCTTCTGTGGTTACAGTTTGACTTTGTTCTTGTACTTTTTCTTCTAACTTTTGGTCCTCAGTGTGACTTATATCAGTAATTTCCTGATCTTTTCCAGTTTCACCGTTTTCCTTTCTATCAGAAACAAAAGACTTTTCCTCTTTAGTTTGTTCGTATTCTTTTGCACTGTCCTGACCGGTATCACCAATAACCTGTAAAGATGAATATTGTGAAGATGATTTCAATTCTTCTGTTTCAGCAGAAGACGTAAATGTCTCTTTAGTGTTTTGTTTCGATGTTATCTCAGTTTTATCTACAGTGTTTGTTTTATCTTCATATGATGTTCTGTTTATATTTTTTGAATCTATATCGGTTACACTCTGTCCGTTCTTTGTAACACAAGATGTAATAGATTCAGTATCAGAAGTACTTACTATAGTACTACTTGAAACGTTATCAGTTACTTCAATACACTCTACTTTTGACGTTTGTTTTTCGTAAACAACACTTTCTTCACTCTCGACCACTAGTTTTACGTTATTTTGTTCCTCTTTCGAAGGTTTTAACACTTGGTCGTTGTAGGAAGAAGATTGTTGAGCGCTTGTTTCTTCAGATGTCGTATGTAACGTAGCTTCCACAGAAGACTTTAACGATTCTTGAGTTTCTATGAGAGATGATTTCTGATCTTGTGATGTTTCCGACTTTTGAATATCAGTAATTACTGTTTCCTTGTTTTCACTGACAGCTAGGTCAGATTGTATACTTACTTGTTCGCTAATTTGTTTTTGTTCAGATAGGATGGATACGGTTTCTTGATTTTCTATTTGTAGAGTTTTGTTTTGAATAACCGTTTCTTGACTGAGCTGGGACTGAGATGTGACAGATTGCTGTTCAATTGATTGCGTCACTAATGTTGTAGATGCTACGTCTACTGCGACTTCACTTTCAGAGCCAACAGCTTCGTATATTTCTTGGACTTCGCTTATTGATGATGTTTCTGTTCCTTCAGTCTTGGAAAGTTTAGTGATAGTCTGTGCTTCAGTAGATGCCTTTCTCTTTGTTTTAAGTACTTCTAGAGATTCTTGTCTCGATAGAACTTCTGAGACTTCAACTTCCTCCGTACGAGATTTCTTCTCTTGTATATCTTCAATGTAATCTTCAGTAACTGATCTCTTTCTCTTCTCTTCTGGTTTTTCTATCAATTCTTCAGGAGGTGGTTGAACTTGTAGATCGTCTGCCGCGTGTTCCGCTAGTGCAACTTTAAAGAAAATTTTTATGTTTAGTTCCAGGGCAAGAAAAATATACTATAGAGATCGTTTGTAATTTTAATATGTTAAGTTGGAAGGTTTATTTATAATAATTAGAAATATATTTCAATCAGCTATTGTTATTACCTAGATCGGTGGCGTAACGCTTTATCTCTTGCAACCAAGAAGTTTTAATAGACTCCTTGTGTGCTTTAAAAGTAATTACAAGAGGAGGTTCTTTCTGATGGAGTTCGAACTTGTTGCTGTCTGGGATATCCCTTACTTCAACTTCGGGAAGCTAAAATTAAGTAATAAAAGCATAAATATAAAAAATAACTAAAAAAAGATTTTCCTTTTATAATTATTATGTATTCGATTACCTTGATAATTTGTTTAAGTTCAAAAGCCGATCGATCTTCACCAATCCGCTTGACTTTACAAAGGAGTAATCTCGATTTAAACAGGAAGACGTACAGTTGTTCGCGTTCCTGGCCGCAAGTGACGGTGAACCAGTCGTGGGTCAGTAACCTTCCTAGTTTATAGATGTTCCCACGGTAACCTTCGATGCTAGATATGAAGAGGTTGCTTGTCGCCCGAGTTGGGACGCCTAAGAATAGCTCGAGAGCTTTCTGAAGGTCCGTACAATCGTCGCCGAGACGTTGAGAGTATTTCACGAGCTCCTGCAAGACGATCACATTTGTCATATCATAATCACTTAAAAATCAAGAGCGTTCATAGTACAGGTAACGAAAGTTAAAATTTTCCATCAAATATTTCTGGAACAACACTGAATGGAGTGATTAATGGCTTTAATTTCGTCGAATTGGCAATCAATTACGTATATAGCTAATGAATGAAGGATAGGCGTCGTATTGCATACATGAATTTTATGCTTTAGAGTTATTTTTGGATCTTTGTTCTCTCACCGTTAATTTATTGGCGAGGAAATAGCTCAGGTCAGTTGCGCGCAATTAAGATTTTAAAGCGCTGTTTAAATTTTGTTGCAACCAGCATGATAATATTGTTACAGACTTTTTGTGTATCGTTATGAACAGCAGAAAATATGAATTATTATAGTTATTAAATTCGACTATTACAATTATTCTGATATATGACTCACCTTTAGAAGAAGCTGGTAGTCGTTAATTCTTTGGATGGGTAACTTGAGATGTTCGGCGAGTCCTTTGTCGTCACCGACTTTGTCTGCTAAAGCCTGGTCAAGGGAAGAAATATCTTAATAACGAGAAAAAATGTGTATAAATATAGAAAGAAATGTAGAAATCATAATCCGGTTTGAATATTATAGAGAATGTTCGGTGGCTACAAAAATTGTTCCCATTTATCTGAACTAGACTGAACATTACATATTGATTTATTTTAAGCAATTCCGTTTCTATCAACAGATGTAATTTTGTAATCATTTTGACCTATATACAAGTAATTACAGTGACACAAGTCTTATAATGTAAACGTACAATATTTAAACTACCTACATCTTAAATAACGAAATAGCTATTTTATTTTTTCATTAAGGTTATTAATGTAACCTTTAAAGTCTTACGTTCTAAAATTCTTTTAAACTGTTATAAAAATAAACACAGTCATATATAATATTTTTTAAGTTATTTTCATTATTTTCACAATCTTTTTTTCCATATTCGAGTTTTGTAAGGTCCATCCGGGTATAAAATTACAAAATGGACAAAATTTTGTCAATAAATAATATTAATATTACAAGAAACCGTAATAAATTGGCGTTTTCACGGATAGCTCGGTTTCAAACGCGGGTAGATATATATAGAACACCTTGACACATTACACATAGAATTGTTGACGTTCCCAAGACATATACTCTGAGAAACATTAAAATATTTATAACTCATAACAGCACTTTAAACGAAGACGGTAAATTATAACATTTAGGAGAAAATTCAATATCTTTTAAAATCGTTGTATTGTTTCTTGAAGTAAATTTTCCTAATGTGAGTAATAAAGAAAGAAAATGCGTATAAGAGTGTAAAGAAATATGGAAACTCTCTTATAAAATTGAAATAAATGATTAGAATTGAATACAATATGTAAAATAAGTTTATAATGACCTATTGGAAATAAAAATAAAGATTATTTACTTGTCATTCGAATTATATTGTAATATATGTACTACTCTAAAGGTGAGCAGATATTAATCTATAAAATATATTTGTAGAAATGTTTTAAAAATCTTTTCTAACATAAGTATGATTTAAAAAACAGAAAGTGGAAAAAAAGTACAAAACATTAAGTTGTCAGATTAAATATGATGAAGGCTCGTCTAAACGAGATTAAATAAAATTGTTTCGGTGTATAAAAAACTTCAAGGTAGTTTGTATGAAAATGACGCTAATCAAAAAGATAAGCGAACTAAAATATTAAAAAAATAATCAAAATTAACATAGCTCGCAAAGACTCTCACGAATATAATTAGTTTCAATTAATGAACGAATTAACTATGATAATATGTAACAGCAAGCCAAATCCTCTATCGAGATCATATTTAGGAAGAATTGAAACAAACAAAACCCCATGGTTCTATGGGACAGAATGCTACAAAAAGATCTCGTGTCAAAAAAAACTTTTACCATAAAATAAATGTTTCAGAATATTATAAAGATAATGCGTGAATGATGCCTTATAAATTCTTTAGAAAATGTGTATAATTAAGATCCAAAAGAAAATAATGCATGCACTATTCAATTTTCAAAAGTTGTCCTACTGAATGCCTAAAATAAGACCAGTTCTTTGATATATACTCGTATTATATACATATAATATGTTTATTTAATTTTAAACTTATAAACATCCGTTCATTATTTATACTAATGGTAAAATAAATTGAAAAAATATGCAGAAAAGTTTAATAAGCTTACAATCTAGTTTGAAGAAATAATTGTCGTAGAAACAATATAAAAATATCTACTGCTCAAAACTAGACCCTTTCTAAAATGTTTATGTAAGTAATTTTGTTCTCGTAATGTTTGTGGTAAAATCCAGCCAATAAAATCTTTATACTCAATAAAACCTCGTAATGCTTTTCTCACCGTAACTGGACTAACATAACTATTACGTGCTGTTATGTACTGAAATGAGCATTCGGAACGCATCACCATTTTAATAACTTTGTATGATATAGGTACGTGGTTAAGTTAAGTAAGTGGTTGATTATAATTAGGTACGATAAAGCCAAAATGTACAGACACTCACATCTCGTCTGCCAGCGATCACGGTTACTGTAAAGTAGCCGAAACTTCGGTAGTATGTAGTTTATAGTCAAAAATAAAAAACCCGTAGTAAATCCGAATGATATTAGTTTCATTTAAAAGCCAAAATGTATTCAAAATTTGCTTCGTCCTATTTATATTACTGATCATTTTGCCGCCTTTCGACTTCGATTACAAAAGTTTGTCAATGATATAATTTAAAGAGTTTCTGTTATTGAACCCTTACCCTCGTATAAATTGGGTCAAGGTCATCCGATAGATCCTTCTAATACGAAAGCTCCGAGCTTCACGCACGCGAAGTTCGAACGTCAGACAAACCTAGCGAACATCCCACGCAACTAAACTCGAAATAAACCAGACGTGTTGCTTGAAACATTACACCCGCGGCGCGAATGTTCATGAAAAAAGCGATTTCGCAACACTCGCCCGCGAAAACCTGCTATAAATACATAAAACCTTCTACCTGGGTGGGGGGCGGTCCAGAGGGTCCTGAATGTAATGAGCACAATCACAGTCACACACTTCACTCTGAGGAGTGGTCGGTCGTAACGCTGGAGCGAGCGAGGTGGTCCGGCCGCGGCTTCCAAGCGACTGGCCCACACACCCTGTACCGTACATCGCTAAAAATAATTCCCTAGCTTTAGGATAAATCCATTTCTCCGATGACGATCTCGTTATCAGCGCGTCCACGGACCACGGTCAATGCGACAAGGTCGAAAAACAAACCTTGAGCATCCTTCAGAAGATCGCTGCAGTGGAACAGGAATGAAGGGTGGTCCACAGAAAATAGGAACTAGAATAACCTTCGATAATACTAGTAGAAGAAGTAGCAGCCGTAGATGTAGCTCTAGATTGGAATATTGAAAGGAGGAAATAATGTTTATAATATAACAATTGGTTATCTATTATTATCCACCTTTAAAATACTGATAAATCAACCATACAATGCTTTAATTGAATTCAAATGAGAGAGGCATAATCATTGTTTTCTCAATTTACTGACAGTATATATCAGAATATCATTACAGTTCACGGTAACTGGAATTGTAATTAATAGTAAACAAATGATTGTAGGAATAAATAACTTTTGTCTTCCGTATCCATTTAATTAAATAACATCATTAATATGAAATTAAAAGTAAAAAAGGATATGTCGTAAATATTTGGTATGAAATGCTACAGTAATTTCCTTCTGATTTTGTTATATGATATACATATATGTACATGTGTTCTATTGTGATAAATGTGAGATATTACTAAATATTTTTATATTTTTGTTCATATAGTTTTTGGATTAAATACTCTTGTGTATAAGTCTAGAGTCTTGACTATCAAAGAGGTCTACAGGTACCTGTTTCCTCAAAGCCTTCAAAACATATGAAACTATCGAAATATAAACAGAGGAGCTTACTGAGTCTGAAAGAATTTGATTTGTGATCACTGTACGGAATCTTATAATTATTTACATATTTCTAAAATTATTAGACGATTATTATTAAAATTAATAATACCTAAATAATTTTAATTGAAATTAAGGTCTTCCGATCATAACCATAATAAAACTGTCATAAACTTTCACCTCGCCTGTCCGTAATCAAGGTTGCTGAAAAGTAACCGAAACGTCAAGATAATGTAGTTTTTATAATAATAAATTACGCGTAGTAATCCGAAAAACTTAGTTTTATTTAAATGTTTAGGTACTCACGATAATTCATTAATTATTATTAATTCTTATATAATCAAGTAAACGTAATATAAATAAAATTTTTATTGGAAGAAACAATAACACTTTGTAAGTAGATGATTATTCTTATCATACTCGTAAGTATTGCTTAATTTTTCCCAAAGTTATTTTCAATATGAAAATGTGATTGAAGTATGTTGTAATATCTTATATTACATAATCTGAAAGAAATGTAGTAGAAATGTAGTATGTGTAGAATTGTAGTGTTATTTAGAAAAAGAAGAGAGTTCACATACTTATAAAACACTTTTTTTACAATTTTTATTTTTGCAAATCCAACTGCTATTCATAGGAATCTGAATAAAAAATAAGTACATTTCCAATCACATTATCATTTAATACGCGAGCAGAAATATGTATATTTATTACAGTTTATAATTATTATATTATGAAGGCAATATATTAAAAGATTACTCAAAATCTTAAAAATGCGATCAATTTATATATAGCATTGAGTCAAGTGACGGTCGCGAAAAGCGTAGGATTATTATATATTTGTGTCACTGAAATAGTTTGAGAATAGTCATTCAACTTGCTCGAAACATCGATTATAGGGAATATATTAGTGATTAAAAGAAAACGAATTGAAACATGATTGTGGATGAGGGTTAAGCGTTAACAATACTAGGATTTGTCTGCTTTAGTTTTAGACCATAAAAATTGTGATGGCATATATAAATTTTTACTGCCTACTTATTACTGCCTAAAACTAGAACTAAGAGTGGAAAAAAGAGGATTATCTTTAAGGGCGCAAAACTTTATAACAATTTACCTAAATAAGTAAATTCTCTAAAAAAATTTTCTATGTTTGAATCTCGACTTTTTAACCATATTCTGTGCAACGATTCTCTGTTAAAATAATTAATTGTAACTGTTATCTCATCTGTTTTGCTGATCCGAACGAATTGTTATATTTATAAGTTAGTTAAAAGTTCACATGTAAATGACGTTGTCGTAATGAGAATAAAGTTCTTTAAACTGAATTTTATAAGTATTATAAACTTTGTTTTTTCTCTATATTATTTTCAGCTGAAGTACCAATAGTTTAAGGAAAAACTAAGCTAACAAGACCAACTGACAGACATTCACATCTCGTCTGCCCGTGATCACGGTTGCTGAAAAGTAACCGAAACGTCGTCGGGAGAATGTAGTTTTAATAATAATAAAATACGCTTAGTAATAAAAAGAAATATTAGTTTAATTTAGAATTTAATCTGTATAACTGTTTGATAAATGATTATAATGACATTGGCATCCACTCATAAAATATTAGTCTTTATATTTTTATATAAAAACTGATTTATTGAAGGCTTTTTTTGAAAATCATTGAAATAATTTAATATAAGATATTTTATTTAAGTCTTTACAATTAAGTGTAAATACAATGAAAGTAGAACTGATCGTTTACATTGATAATAGTGAATTGTTGAATCCATTTCACAACAAAATTAATTCTGAATTAAATTTAAAGTATTGCATATACTTTCTAGTTGTTCATATTAAAGATACATAGTGTATAAGTGTTATAACAATTTTGGCAAAGTTCCAGCTGCTCTCGTAAACAGGTTATGGTCATTATACAGTACGGACCACGAATCTTTATAGATGCCTGATGATTTATATTCAATACTTACGTCTCACATCTGACCTCACTACAAACTGACAAATTGTCTCTCATGGTGTTAGATCTTGATTAATTATTATCTATAATTATCATTTCAAATATTTTACTTCAAAACTGAGTGACAAAAGATAAAAATTAGATTGTTAAGTTAAAATTATGTAAGTCGTGACTCATGCTGGCCTATCGGTTAGAGGCCCTCCGCACGTCGTGAGGGCGCGGATACGAAACCTGGCAAATACCAAAATGATTTTTCCGAGTCATATATACTTTCTACGAGTATTGAGATAACATTGACAAATGGTGAAGGAAAATCTTGACTTATAATTTTAAATAATAAGTTTGAAATCACCAACCCGCCTTGAGCTAGAATGGTGATTAATGCTCAAACCTCCTCCAAGTTAGAAGAGGCCTTTGCTCAGCAGTGGGCTCTGATATGCTGATGATGATGACGACGATTTTTCTTTGTATATAATCTCAATATAGCTCAATTTATATGAGAAGTGACAGTGACTTGTATGTATGTTTTTATTCACCAACAAATTTTACATACCAAATATTAAATTAAAGAAGTTTACAAGATATATTAACCACGTAATTTCAAATATTACACCTGATTTTGGAAATATATAATATTTCTATTTACTCTCGTGTGTCAATTCAATTCAACCGCTTTCAATGGAAACTGGAAATCGTGAAAATTATTTATATTTACCTAGTGTAACCTTTAAGGGAGTAGAATGTATTCTTATTAATTTTCATATTATAAAAGCAGTGTGAGTTGCATGTGGATTGAGATCAACGAGATTTCGTATGAGAAATATTTTCAAAGAAATTAATAGTCCTATTATGGTTTTATAGTATATGTATATATTATATAATTTGATTTATAATTTACAACAATTATACGATGAATATAATTTAAATGCTAGATTATGCTAGATAAATAGAATAGTGATAAAAATAGTAATTGTCTAGTTTTTCTTTCCCAAAGGTGAACCAATTTACCATGACTTTGGGCATGAGTACATTTTATTTCTTTAATGAATATTATTCTGTAGAATAAAAGAATGTTAAAGTAATTTATTTGCTGATAACATTTATTAATTTGTGTATACATTGTATTAAGTAGTAAAAATTACACTCAAAGGAAATGCGTTCTTCACCGGTGTGACTAACCAGTCATTATTATCATGTCGCTAATATTATGAAATAGTAAGTATTCATTATTAACTCAAATACGAAATCCCCTTACAATAATCTGTGTTGAAACTCAAAACTATTGATTACAGGAAGTCACTGAATAAATAACTACAACTGATTCACATTGACGTCAAAGTGTAGGTAGGAAGATAAAATACATAGCTCATGTGAAGTTGAAGGTATTGGATAACAACTACATGCATTTGTTACGTACGCGCTACATATTAAGAAATAAATGAATATCGCCGGGGTAACATCCTTGTATGGGTAAAATATCATATGACGAGTAATGCAGCTGACTCCGCGGCACGAACACCAAGCCGTGTGAACCAGAAGATTCCTGATACTACACAAGCTATGGAATGGTATTGCTATCCTAACATCGGGGCAATCATGTAGTCTTAGGTATAGGTTACAAGTTTTAATATGTAATTCTTATTATACTATATAAGTATGTTTGGTAGTTTTCCTGGAACCTTCAGTCGCCACCCTAAATAATTCATTCCTTAATAATGTTATCTTAATAAACAAATAAGATGAAATCATTTCTTGACTGATCATTTGAAAGAGATTATAACACACGAGTGCTAAACACAATGTATAGTTCCTTTTCGTCAAACGTTGAATAGGAACCTAAATAGCAACGATGACACAGATGCTAAATAAAAGGTTAAAGCTGTTAAAGCTAGGAACGACTACCGCAATCTCAACTCATTGTTTTTCTCCCATATCGATGGGAGTGTAAGAAGCTAGCCGCTCGTTACAACGGGCACGACGCCAGCTTCTAGAATAGTTCGCGTTCAGCCACCGCTTGTGATGAAAGAATGAGGACAAGCGCCGGCAAACATCTTTCAATATTAACACTACTCTCCTTACTAACTACAAATTTGTCCAATGTTCCTTCTACAACTTATACTGGTTCTGATAACACATTCTTGACATTTTTGGAAGATAAAACTGTAAATATGACTGAAAATATGCCCATAAATATACAGCAGTTTGAATTGGTTACATATTAAATCAAACATATTTTTGATCTTTTTTAGTTCCATTCAGATTATTCTACTATTAATGCTGTATCGTAATTATATCTTTGTACATAAGAATTATTCTGAACTCAGTTTAATACAACTAGCGACATCCGGCGGCCAAACAAAAATTTAATACAACATGAGGTAACCATTCAAGGATTCAGTGTCAACGAAAATGTCCAGACAAACAACGCCATCTATCAGTGTCTACAGTACACTAAATTGCTACTTTATTTAAAAGTGGTAATTTGAGATAGATGGAGCTAGTTTCTATTTTCAAATACTGTAGTTTTTTTAACATGGTAAAAACGGTAGTGGAAATAAAAATAAAATTAATCTGACACTTTTCTAAGACAAATCTATATCAACTTAATATTATTAACATCATTGATTAATATAAAAATCCACACTGTCCACAGCCCTCACTCCCACAATTTAAGGTACTATAATTACATTCTCTCATCTTTAAACTTGACTAATTTTATTTGATACTAGCTTTTGCCACGGCTTCGTCCGCGTGGCACAGTGACTTCCGACAGATTTTTGGTTTTTCCCACATAGTTCCCGTTCTTGCGGGGTTTTCGGAATGGTCGAGTTCCCGTAGAATTTTCAGGATAAAACCTATGTTTTTTTTTGTATTAATAATGAAGTACTCTGAACCAACAACATAATTATTTGTTTATATGAATAAAGATTAGTATTATTATGTTGATACAACTTAAACAAAATATTTCGACCAAATTAGGTACCATAAAAACTGTTTTTGTGTGTTAATCTTAAGAGATAGACATATACTGTCGCGGACTGTTTTATAGATCATTAAAAGAGCTATTATTATTTAATATATTTTTTGTGTATCTTGAACCGTTTTCACGGCGCACGCAACGGAAGGCTTCAAAGATGAAATAATTTCTCCCGTTTTTTACACATTTACCACTATATCTTTGCTCCTATTGGTCGTAGCGTGATGATATATAGCCTACAGCCTTCCTCGATAACTGGACTATCCAACACAAAAAGAATTATTCAATTCGAACCAGTAGTTTCGGAGATTAGCGCTTTCAAACAAACAAACAAACAAACAAACTCTTCAGCTTTATAATATTAGTATAGATTTTCCTATCATCTATGTTTCCCTCTTCCTACCTTTTCGTCCTACGCAATGTGTCCTTGTTAATGACATTCGTTACTTAAAGTGGTATTGTTGTTTTATATTAGAGTATTAATATCTTGTGCATTAGAAACTGGGTGACATAATGAAGTATATTGACATGTGTTTCATTACTCACACACCTATTCAGCCCATTAGTAATAGAGCGAGGAACATAAAAATAAATTTTTATAGCCCTCTTTTCCTTATTTACTTGGGAATGCCTCACATTTTAAGCTATACCTTCTATCAAAGGAGCCTTTCATCTTGATATAAAGCAGACCCTAGTCAAAATCACACGCCAGTATTAGTATGGAGATCAAACCCTCAACTTACCTTGAAGTACCTGGACACTACAGGGTCCTCGGTCAGCAGTCTCTGAGCGTGTGGCTCATCACGACAGTACGCCACGTGCTTGTCAAACTCTCGCTCCATCCTCAACAACGCGCGACCCAGCATACGAGGTTCCTCGGCGTAGTACTTCACGCCTTCAAGGAGACTCCTGCAAAGATTTAAGATAACAGTTGAAATATATAGCTTTCACTGATTTGTCATCAAAGACTGGATATTATCGGAAGGTACTAAAAAATTATAAAAAAATAGCTTTTTTGGTCCTAAAATTAACAAAACAGGTATAAAATTTACAACTTACGTGTTATGAAACTCGCAGATCTGCTTGAAGTTAGAGAACAGCAACTCTCTGTTGTCAAACACTGGTTTGGGAGTGGAGGCCTTGTCCAAGGGCTTCATGTACTGATCCACAACCTGCTTCATGTCACGCCCGAACTCCTCCTCAGTTTCTATCAGCTCACGGACCACCGCTCTAAATATTAAGGTTTTAATGTTATTCATATTCTCTAATTTGTCATGTTTTTCAAAGACTTGCTTTGGTATAAAGCATATATATTATTAAAGCATTTAATACTAGATTTTTCTTATATTAGAATATGTGGTCCATATCAGAAACACTTGTGGTGAGAAAATGTAGGTTCTTCTGCGGTGAGAATAGTAACGTAGTATGAAAGAATGATAGTATTAACAAAAGAAAATATTATTTGTATGGTCTTCAGAATTTATTCTGTATCTTTAACGAATATTAATAAAGATTAAATTATAATGTATGATAGTTTTTTTACCTGGCGAGGGTCGAGGCCTTTCATTTGATAAGGTTTCTTCTAAGACAAACGGAAACTAATATATCTTTAGTTTATTTCAATGAACCGAAAAAAACTTAATACAGACACATCAAAAAAACCGATTTTACAAACATAAATGTAATAAATACATCGTAGTAAATACAGCCTGTATTATATTATATGATATTTATAATTTAAAACACATTTCCTCAAATCGTTCAAGTTTCTACAAAGAGACTGATAGTTTTTAAACTACTCGTTGAAGGTAGACGAATATTTTAGTAATCATGTGTTAAGAAATCGCTGATGAAGTCATCCTGAGAAATCCTTTATTTCTTTGTCTTTCATATGTAGAAGTTTTGTTTTATGTTTTAATTATGTTCAAACGCCAGCTTGTATTCGCTAATGACTTAGCTAAAAGATCTAATTATTTGAATCATGAGACCTATCCCCAAGTCCGCCTCGACCATCAGTTCTCGGTGATCATATATCACTGGCTGGCTCACATCCCAGGTAACTGGTAACGAGACAGCGGTAAATAATTGGGCATGAAATTGATTTATCGCTTTATATCTCAGACTGCTTTCACGCTGAATTATTCTCCTTCAGAATTTTGGCCGCATTTTGGAAAATTTCTTGGAAACAAATTAAAATCACCCAAACGAAAATGAGTTGCAGAAAATTTATGTATTCTAAGTGTGTAATAAACTTGTTTTATAATGTACCGACAGTTTTACAGTCACTTAAATTATTATTGACCCATCCGTGGGCCACAGCTAGCTAAATTTTATATACGAAATAATATTCCTGTTGATATTGCCGTTACCGATGGCATCCTTAAATATATCGAGTGGAAATTCACTCCAAACAGTTTCCCTGACCATTAAAACTATATTATGACCACGACTTCGCTTGAGTTATTTTAGAAGATTGAACACGATATTTGCTTTTAAAATTTAATACTAAAAGTTATATGTAGTTATTATGTAGATATTTATCTTCAGTAGTTTCATTTAATATCCACTTTAGCCTAATAATAGTAGGAATAATGTTTACGCTTACAAACATATAATAATACTTGGGATGATTCAGAAAATATTAATAGCGTCCGGAACAATATTTTGATAACATTGATCCCGATACCAGTTACATTGTATGTGATGATACAATCTTTAATACAAATAAATTGAAACCAGACGTAATGCATCGGATTAAAAATAATATTTACCGAAACGTAAAATAAAGTTCACTTCAAATAATATAAAGTTGTAAAATGTTCTATTAATAATTATTGGCTTGTCAGGTGAGGTTCTATTTATAAAACGACAAACTGTTTACCAGCTCCGAGATGTATGGCGGTTTTGAAATTTGCCATCAAAATGAAATATCGATTAAACTTGAGATTAATGTTCTGTTAAAACTGTTATAACATTTATGAAATATTGCTACTGAACTATATATTTTTACAAGCCCTTTCTGTCCTCAGGTATAAACGCATTAAATTAATGTAATTTTATATTGGTACCAAAATAAAGAGCATTAATTTACAAATAACTTATTTTATTTTCACTTCATCGAATAAGGGCGACGTAATAAGATATAAGGAAGCGAAAAATTACGAAAGTCACAAAAAAAAACAAAGTGCGCCGCTGACGTTATTAAAGTCGCGAGTAAATTTAATATAAATTAACGACAAATTTTGAACACTTCCTGAAAACTTTATCCGTGTCAACGAGTTCCATACGCTAACATATGTTTGTAATTTACCAAAATAATGCATTTGATATATAAATATAACGAAACACAAAGGATTTGGCCAGAACAATTATTAGTAAGTAGACTTATTCATAAAGAATTGATTTGTATCTGATTTGACAATATAAAATATCAGAAAACCAATAATAAAATGATATTTTCAAGACTTTATAACAAGACGTCGATAGATTTATAGTTAGAGAAAACTTACGACACTTATGATGTATGTTTCACAAAAATTTACAAAACTTTAAATGAAACTAATATTTTCGGATTTACTATAGTGCGTTTGATTTAAGCTGAGCTTTGCTTTTGTGTGAGTGCACACGGATAGTGTAGGTGTAATGTCAAATTTTTGAATGCCACGTTCTTTTCTAGTTTTAAACTTTTGTACTGGTAGCAATATCAAATGTTCAAAACGCAATGTCAAGTGAATAAGAATTTATAGTTTTTTCAAAATTCTTATTAATCGATAATTTTTTTCCCCTCAATATTCAAAATATTTCTATCTGGACTATTACGAGTTTTGCTTATTTTATAGCACTTATGTTATGTAACTATTTAAATTATGATAAAATTTAATTCTAAAAGTATTTTGTCTATCTCTACTTTTACTTTCACTCACACAAATGCAAAACTCAGCTTAAGTCTAACAGACTATACGCGATATTTTATTTTTTATTATAAACTACACACTCCCCGGACAACTACACCCATATACATACATTTGCGTTTTAATAAGACTATTGACTAAATATGAGATATTAATATTCAAGGTCTTGCATGAAACAGAAGTTCTGTGTTAAAATCACATCTCTTCAGACCGAGATCACGGTTGCTGAAAAGTAACGGAAGCGTCGGGAGTATGTTGTTTATAATCAAAAATAAAAAATCGCGTAGTACGTCCGAAAAATATTAGTTTCATTTAAATGAATACTCGCGAAAATCCTAGATCTCATTATTTACAGAATTTTTAAACTATTTTGGTCGGATTATACAACGCGTATTTCATTATTGTAAAAACTAAATACTGCCGACGTTTCGGTTACTGTTCAGCAACCGTGATCACGGACAGACGAGATGTGAATTGCATACAGAACTTTTGCTTCATGTATGACCCTGAATATTAAAATCTCATGTTTGGTCGATAGTTCTATTAAAACACAAGTGTATGTGTATGTGTGTAGACGTATAATGTGTTACACGTTGCACGTAAACGTTTTCTAAAGAGAAACAGCTGCAACAGTAGTATCGACAGAAATACTATTACTAATAATAATAATACCCTTTCAACAAAATATATGTTTTTTTATGAGATAGGTTGGAAAAAAGCAGATGGCCTACTTGATGGGCAATGGTCACCGTCACCCAAGGACATACGCAAGATAACACTCACATCTCGTCTGCCCGTGATCACGGTTGCTGAAAAGTAGCCGAAACGTTGGAAGTATGTAGTTTTTACAATAATAAAGTCGCATAGTTGTAATCCAGAAAGAAAAATATTAGTTTCATTTAAAAGATAACAGACGCTATGCCAACCTTGGTAGTTGAGGAAGAAGGAGGGGTGGGAATAAAGAAATGGCAACCGTCTCTCTCACTCATCGTACGAAACGCAACCATTAAAGGCTACTTCTGTGAGAGGGTAGTACTTCCCTGGTTGAGCCAGCCAGCTATAAAACCTATGAGCTTTCAAAGAACATTGATCTTACTGTCTCCTTGCAGCCAGCGCGATCTGATCTCTCTCAGGTCGTTCTTCCTTCAGCACGTGAGCTGGTACCAGACCCTTGCGAGACACCACCTCCCCACCACACACGTCCTCCAACACCCGAACAAGCCATCTGAAATATACAACAACCTGTGAATAAGCTAATTTTAGTAGTATAGAAACAACTAATATAAAATACGCTAGTATGTTTTGATAAAGTGCATATGATAATGCTTTTAAACAAAAATAAGATTTTTTTTCAGCATACGAATAAAAATAAAGTAAAGATTATAAATATAAAGACGTGCTATTTATAGTGTGCGGTATCACCAGATGATATGTTTCATTTACGCTTTTTTTTAGATAAAATATGCAATAAATGTTTTTAGTCGACCTTGACGCCTTCAAATAAATAAACAAACTTCAGAGGTAGCCCACAGAGGGTAGATTTTTATTATATATGTACATATATTTATATTTTATACACTTAATAAATAAAGAAACATTTCGTGTCTACTAAGAGAAGTTTTAAAATTTTCACAGGAAATAAATTGAGCTCGAATAATTTGAGTAACTTCATATCTAAAAATTAGGAACAAGTCTAGTTAGTTCAAGTGTAGGCTAATGAACTCCTGGCCGACGACCCGGCTGATCCCGATTGACGACCTCCAAACTATATTACAGCTAAAATAACTCATCATATCAGAATAATACAGGAATATTTACAGATTCTTCTATTCTCATCTATATATAAAAGAAAATCGTGTTAGTTACACTATTAATAACTCAAGAACGTCTGTAACGGTTTGTCTGAAAATTGGTGTAGAGATACCTTAGAACAAGGGAAAGGACAAGATACTTTTCATCCGATTGAAAAAGAAAAGCAAAATGAGTTTATCAAATCTAAAATATTCTTAACTACTATCTTTAAGGAGTAAAGTTCGCCCGGTCAGCTATATATTTCTAATTCTGAAACTATCGCAGACGAAGTCGCGGGCATAAACTAGTATCTTATAATAATAATCGAAAGGTTTCATCATGAACAGTAAAGCTTTCAGTAAATCTGATATAAATAGTGGCCTGTGTGAAATTGTGATTCATTATAAACTATGTATAGTTATATAGATGTTGACGGATTACGCAACCTCTATCGGAACGGGATATTTCAGTATGTTGATATTAAAATGATGAAATTTCAGTTTCAATAAGAAAAGACATATATTCGGGTCAATATTATTTATCGAGCTGTATTAAAAATAACTTTCTTGATCGTTTTCTTACAACCATATAGCCACTTGAAGCTCTTAAAGTATGGAACAAGAATATATTGTTAAAACAAATCAAGAAGAAAGTTTATAGATGACATAAATCTTTTTCATTGAAATGAAGAAAGTAACAATAAAAGCATCCGAAATTAAAATCTGGTTAATCTTTGTGTTTTTAATGTGTTGATATAATCTAATTTATAAAACGACGCACCGCTTGTATCAAGACGACGGACATTGAAAGTGAGTTGAATAAATTGAAAACATATGTTTTTTAATCATTCAACACAATACTCTTCGCTGTATGTGGGTTAAGTGCCACTGAATATAAGGAAAGTGAAAACAAATATAAGAATATTATAATCAAAAACGTGGACGTGGATACTTAATTTTTTAAAGTTTCAGTACAACACGAAATATGTAGATAGATTCTTCTTTTACCTGGCAATTTCGCAGCTATAGCCAGGGTCTGCCTTAAAGGTTGTGAATAGTTTTGGCTATTTGTTTTTACGACCGGCCGCTTGACATCAACCCTCTTTGGGAATAATTACGTAGAAATACGTAGATAGATTGTCGAATAAAAATGACATTTGTTGCTGCTTTGACATGTCAAAGAGCTGTGTTGCCATTACAATATTTATCCGGATGTTATTATTTTATGATTAAAAGTAATTATTAATTGTTATTAGGAATTAATTGTAGTTTATTCAAAAGTTAATCAAGTACAAAAAAGGATAGATCAAAGCTTGGATACAAAAAAGTGGCGTCATTTAAACAAAAACATACCAAGCGGTTATATTATCTAATTGTTATAATCGAAGTACCAAATATAATTTTAGAAAAACTTATTAAAGTTTTTAAAAGTATTTCTCCATTAAAATATTTGTTTCCTAACTTTTAAATTACACTTTTTTAAAACATAATTTACAACATAACACCACAAACTTAAGAAATAGCAACCAAAAAATAACTTGTCAAACTTTATGTTTATAAGGTCTAAAATGAACAGTTAACATTAACCAGAAAATTAAACTTAATTCGCAGGCAATAACTAGTATTATAATATATCTAAACATAGTATATTCCTGAATCAGTGCAATGTCCGACTGAAATCAGCTGTAGGCGTTTGTTGTGTTTTTTTCATCACGTTGTAGACACATTATTGTAGTTTATAGCCATTTTATTAGAACACTTAAAAGATAAATAATAGCCGGAATCCCATAATAAATTAAAGATTTAGCCTAAATTTACAATATCAATATCTCAAAAACTGTTACGGCACTAAAAATGTCTATAAAATGATCCCAAGATCTCAAAATCCGATGTAACAATATTATTTATAGAGGGTGTTATGAAAATAATCTCCAAGAACGTGGTGTTATTTTGAAATAACTCTTTAAAATGAGATTTAATTCTGCTTACAGACGTCGAAGGCTGAAGATGGAGTGGATTTTTATGCAATATTTAGTAGTACATATATTAATCAAATCTTCGAGTAATTTGGAATAGACAAAAAATAATATGAATTTATTTGTGTATTTTCGTAAAATAATATTTTTCAAGACAAGTTTCAATATAAATATGGTGCATTCGTTTCATAAGAATATTAAGCAACATTTAATCACAGTTTTGAATGAAGTATAGAATGTAGAAATGAGAATTTATGATAATGGGATTCACTTAACAAAAAGTTAATGTAACATTTATTTAAATACAGTACAGATACAGTAATTTCTTTCTAACTACCTATTCTAACATACACAACATCAGTTCATTTTTGACATACATTATAGTATGCTACTTAAATCTCTTGTTATTCGTCCAGCCATAGACGGAATGTTTCGCGTTTTCCAATCAATGACCTACGTATTAACGTATAGTATTACTATAATTGTTAAGATTTATCAATGAAAAACTGTTGACCTTGCGTAAGTATGTAGCGACGTTGGCAATTCAGACTAAGGATAGATACAAGAGTTATTAAAAGATGTGTCTCAAATTGTTAGTATATAATCATAGGTAACCCATCAATATTGAATATAAAATCAGTGTATTGACTTAGGTAATCTAATTTAGTATGAAAACGTATTATTAGTTTTAATAATGGAAGAATTTTAGCATTTATTTTAAAATTAATTTCATTTTAATAGAGCGTAAATGTCGGAAGCAATTGTTAATTTGGCAAGTCCATAAATCGGTGGGTGACACGGGACACGGGAGTGCACGCGTCAACATATCACGAGTACGGTCGACGCTTCCTGATGTGGCTGGATTTAACAACTAAAGTGGCACAACGAACACACGCCTGCACTTTCATTACATACCGCTATTAATGATTACCAACAGGTAATATTACAGAACTGAATTCTTGGTAAGGTAATTTAATGTATGAAATTTCTGTGTCACGATGTTAGTCACCGACCTGTTCCGGCTTTACCGATTTTTACCTAATGTTATATGTATTCAGTAGGTCTCATAATCACCCTTAAAATTTTGCACTTTTTTTTATAATGTGGCATAAAAAAATATATACAACGAAATTTTTTTATCGCCAACCCCTATTTTTTGATATTTCAAAACCATATTTACAGGGTCAGCTAGTAAATTATATTTGAACATTTATAACACCGGAAAGAAATGAATGATCTGTGTCGAAAACGTTTCCATTTTACATCTACATAGTTTACACAATGAAATCAGAACGACATTTCTATCAGAACAACATGACCCGGAATCTTTAATATCCTTCATTACAGCCGTAAACATGACGTGTATGGGAAATAAAATATAAGATTAAAGCGTCCCACATGCACAGTCTAGTTTGAGTTCATGGCACAGGGTTAACTCATTACCTGATCTAACATCAAAAGACAGATACACTTAATTAAACATCTGAAATAGATGTTATTTCTGGTGAAAGTCATAATAATTATTTTATTACTTGTGTTTTTTCGACTTAAAAATATCGTGTCGTAAACGAACTCTTCTGTGAAAGATTGTTTGAAAAAGTGGTCGTTATTAAAGGAAATGTTACTAATATTTTTATGATATTTTTTTCGTTTTTGTTTTTTTAGTGAATATTATATTATATATTATTTCAAAGAATACATTTAGATATGATAATATATTGACGTTTTATTGAAAACTAATATTATTTTAACTTAAAAATACTCATATAATTAGCAACTACATATATTGAAGTTGTAACACAAACAACAAATTAACTAGTCTTAAACGTAAGGAAAAATAACACAGAAATTCTAAATAATAGAGAGAGTATAATTAAAATTAGAAGACAAAAATTCTGTCATTACAAAGCAACGACAAATTTGCTGTTTGATAAATAGTAGTCGATTAATCAGATTTAAACGATTGAGAAACGTGAATTTAAAATAAATGCGAAAAAATATATACAAAGTGAACGGCCTGGCTGCTCTAGACACGAGCTATTTTTGTGTAACATACAAGATAGAACACGATACAGTTTATGAAACACCAGACTACATAAAACGTAGTAATTTTATGAACTCTTAACCATTAATCGTTAAGTGTTGCTACCGAAAATTTAACAACCTTTTAAACATCAGAGAGGCAGTTAAACGCTTTCGACCGTTAAAAATCAAATTTAAAAAGTTTATTTGAATGTAACAAATAGATATTATTTTAACATTACAAAAAGAAATTAGATATATGATCAATAAAATTTTCAAAAAAACAAATGGCACTGAATAGAAAGTGAAGTGAAAACAATATATCGTACTGAATAAAATAATCACAATTATATACCCGTGAAGTATATAAGAGAAATAATTGATGTACTGAACACGACGTTTGAGACAAACTATGTTGGCAGATGCGAAATATCCCAAATTAGCGTTATAATAAGTGGAACAGTCATAATATTGTAGACGAGACGTTTGTAACACTATACCTGACAGACGAGTGGGGCGGACGTCACGACTCACGGCTGGCATGTGGGAGAACCCTGGTTTCATTTCCTAGCTTATATAGTCCAAAGTTACTTATGACAACAAACACTTTTAATATCTGCATACTATTTCATCGTCTATATACTTATGGTAGGATTAACGAAGTCATTCTCCTGATGTCTATTAATTTTCCTAAAAATATTTTGTATTCAAATAAATTGAGCAGTTGCTCCCGATCTAACGCTGTTTATTAACTAGACAGAATACGCTTCAAATATTCAAAGTGAAACTATTAATTCTATCGGAAAAGATTTATTTTTCAACAATAGCACCACCTTTTTTTCAAATTAAACGCAACGCGTGGGAAATTTTGTGAGAATAGCCAAGTACATTTGTCTTTTGAATTTTAGGAAAACGGTGACAACATTTTTTTTATGATAAAATTATAATGAATGTTTATAAACTGTTATGACTTTTGTGGACCAAACGATTTTTCTTGTTGACCCACTGTTGCCTACTTTTTTGAATAGATAATAAAGAATATTGATGTCGGTTGTACTAATGAACAAAAATCCGTGGAACAACAAAATAAGAAAAGAAATGATACATTTATAATATTTGCAATCGGGTTATTTAAAACAAGTTAAGTTATGCAATGAATGAACATTTATAAATATAGCGGGCTGTCAACTGAATTAGGAATCACTGATAAAATATTTTTTTTAACAGACTAAAAGAGACACTGATTTCGAGTCTACCTGTTTTTCATGATTCATATTTATTTCGCCAAATACGAATCAATTGGATTTTTTTTGTTTAGTAAGACACACTGTAATTTAGACATATAAATGATAACCATTTTTGAGAAATCCAATTCGTATGAATAACTAGAAGTTTCAATAAATAAACTAATATTATCGAATTACTACGTATTATTTTATAATTTTAAATTACATACTCCAGACGTTTCTGTTACTTTGCATTAACTGTGATCACGGACCGACGAGATGGAATGAGTAACAATAACGTCGGGATTAGAGTTTTAAAATAATAAAATACGCGTATTAATCCGAAAATATTACTTCCATTTAAATAAATACTAGCTAAAGTCTCAGATATCTTTATATTTTCTGATAAAGTTTTAGCAACCGTTATGATAAGAATATGAAAGTTTCCAAGTTATTTTACTAATAATTCTTTAAGGCTTTGACGAAATTGAGAAATGTTTTATTACTTCTTTATTATTAATATTTCGGTATTCATCTTTTTAAGTAAATATCATAAAGAGAATATATTAGCTGTCAAATCAATGTTATGTATATCGCGGTTGTGTAAAATATTTCAATTTGTAGTTCTCGAGGCTATAAACTAAACGAGATTATCATTAGTGTTGCAGTTGGGATGACGACGCTAATGGGAGACAATGAATTACTTGAAATATATCTCCGTCAATCAGGTCAATGGCGGAGTTATAATGATGAGAATAATCCATAAATAAGTATCATTAGAATTTACTTAAATATTTGGTAATCTATATATATAAATATAATTGGTATGTCTGTTTGTAAATTCATATAACTCTTATCATCAATCAATAATTTTTTACAATTTTAGTTTGTCTATCTGTCCAGTTTGTGTGTGTGTGTGTGTGTGTGTGTGTGTGTGTGTGTGTTCCAGTTAATCTTGAAAATGGCTGGACTGATTATGACAGGATTTTTATTGTCATGTAGCTGATGTAATGAAGATAAACTTAGGTTTATTTTTATCCCGATCCCGAAATTAATTGTTATCATGCGCAATTGAGAATCGGTCGCAAGCAATGCTTAAAAGTTTTTTCATTTTTCTATGTTTTTTTGCGCATAAGGTGTCAAAGATAACAGCTAGTAGTAAACAAATTTTCTACATATCTTATGTTTCTTGTAACTCTAGCGTGAAATATTACATCCCATTCAGATAAATCGTGAAGCATAACCCTCAACAAGTTGTAGCTCAGAGACTACGTTTAAGAGCAAGGCTGATTGAGTATTACGTGTTAACAATATTATAAATGTACGTTACATACATTTGGCGAATCACCAATAATCAAATACATTAACTGTTATCAACACAGCGGTCTGTTCTGATAACTGAAGATGTAGTACAAAGCGAGCCAAGAGCGTGGCGGAATTGCGTTTAGATAATATTGCAGTATACAAAAATAAAGTGTGTTTTTTATTCAAGATTATAAAAAAATTATTAAGACATCTAGTGCTTTGATGTTTTTGGAATAGATGTTAAATTTGGAAATCGTTTGAATATTATAATTTATTGAGGAATACTGAGCTATAAAAACACATAGAGGAATCAGTAGTAAGTATAAAACAAATGTTATTGTTTCAAGCTGTTACCTCTCTTGCTGCGAGCTCTTCTTGGATAGCTTACTCTTATGATTTTTCTTCGGTCTTACTGATAGTTTATGCTTTGCAGCCGACAGGTCCAGGAGGTCGGCTTCCACGTCCAGATTGGAGTCGATGTTAGCTTTCCTGGGGATAGGGAGAGTGTTAATACACAAATGAGGGGGTAAAGTGGTACTTCATACGGTAATATGGTATAAAAGGTATGGGGATTTTGAATGTACTATATAATATAGGTTTTTAGGGCACATGTTCTAATTAAACATATATATGTAGTAAGAACAATTGACCATGTATTGATGATTACCATATTTATATCTCAATGAGTACAATTCTATAGTTTATTTTATGATATATATAAAATGTTATTTATATATACACTTAGGTACACTATAAGCAACATCGAAATTATTGAACACAGAAAGCTAAGCATTGAATAAAAAAGAATTTTATGATTATAACTTATCAATTCTTCAAACGTTAACACTATATTATACTACATTATATGTACATATATAATGTTTGAAAAATATATCATAAAATGAAAGTAGCATGTTTTGTTATGAGTTTTAATACAGGTTTGATTATATAAAAAAACTTTATCAGATATCTTAATTGAGAATAATCAATGCATTTAAGGTTTTGTTCTTGCACCATTACTCATACTTAAAAATTTTCTTTTTTAAGGAACGGTTGTTTGAGTTTTGACGTATCTAATTTTCATTATATTTCTCTTTTATTATACGTTACAGTTAAATTTTTGAATACATTTTTCGCAGTACACATTGATAAGACTAATGCCGAATAAAATTTAATCAAATTGCCGTGTCGTATATGTATATTTTAATTAATTTATATGAACGACCTTAATCTACTTACTAGTATAACCTAAGATTTATCTCCGCTCACACTCGACACACATATTATTATCGGTAATATAAATTATGGTTATGGTATAATAAAATTATTTCAGCAATATATACATATTTCTTAGGTAAAAACAAGACTTAATTACTATTTTAAATTTGTTTTGATGTCATCAGTACAAAACCTGTCAAGTGTATTTTGATTAAACACATTGTACCGACTTCAAAAAACGCAAATGTGTTTTTTTCACAAGAACGGTTTTGAAGAGATGAACATCTTGCGAAAACTACAAAGAACACTAAACTGAAAAACTGAACTTTGATTCTTTGTATCTAGTAAGTTGACAGTTTTTAATGCAGTGGTAAACGATGCTGTTAGCATTAGGTCAGCTTTCTGTTATTTTGGGCTTTTAAGGATATATAAATTGGCAAAATTTTATCCAGATTTAAAAGATAAATGTTTATGAGTTGTTTAGTGAGATGAAAGTGGCTCCGAACTGAGACTGTTTCTTGAACCCTTCCTTTGGAGACTGAGTGACTAAACATTGTAATATCAAATTATAATATGAAATAATGGAAAAATCGTGTACTTGATAAATGTAAACAAGTGTTACAGTTGTAAAATATGAAAGATATTATTATTTTTATAACTTTTATTCTCAGTAAAGAAATCTGTAGAATGATTTTGATTTACTGATAAATTTTATTTTAACCACTAATCTATACAAATAAAAATGGATATTGCTAAGTGCATAACATTAAAATGGTTCCACCAAATGGACGAATTTTATATTGTTATTTCCTTCAGTTCTACAAAAGGTTTTAATTCAAAAAAAAATTGCGACGACAATGTCAAACAATAATCTTTTTTTAAATAAAATTTCCTGTCAAACAGTTGTCATAAATTATGAACGTCAATATAAACACAATAAATCCGCGTTTTTTCTTGAATTTATATTCAAGTTTATTAAAATGTTTGAATATAATTTTAACATATAAAAAATACTTAATGTGTTATAGTGTGAACGCAACGTAAACGACTTCAATTTCCAAAGCGGTTTGTTTTCGCAATGACCTTTACATCACCGGGTCAGTCTTTAAGTACTCGCGACGTTAATACTGAAAATCCAGTTTTCTCTCATAGTTAGTTGTATGTTGCCTACGCCCGCGTCGGAAAACCATTAGCACCATTTGTTTACGCGTCAAATAACCAAGCCAAAAGTATTGTATAGCATAAAACATTAGAATAATTCTATTCAAGTGTATAAAGTATTTTAGTCTCTAAAATTAAAAACGTTTTTGTTTATTTTTTGTGATGTAAATGAGGTGATCATTAGAAAAACGGTACATTATTTTTTTTTTACTTTTACTTAGCTACTTTTAATAAAACAGTTTGTCCGGATATTAAAAATAAAAATAATATATTTAACATTGAAGAAAAATTTTATCTGTGGGACTTCACAGAACCAGTAGGTGTTATTTTATTTTTAAGAAATTTTCTTCTCTTAAAGTCTTTTTGGAAATTCAGATAAGGTACAATCGTTTTGGAGATATTTGAGAAACTAAACACCGTTTATTAAACACGTATATTTATTATTATGTAAATACATGTATATATGTTAATGAATAAAAAAATATTATATATGTTGTATCTGCTCATATATCATGAAATGGAAGGCACCCGAAATGAAGTTGTGAAGTAAACTCTTCGAATGAATTACCTACACAAATGTAACCATATGACATGACACTCACAGAACTGCCGCTTCGTTTCATTAAAATAAATAAAATAATAATTAAATAATTAAGCAAATTATATTGTAAAATACACACCTTACATTCATTACACGTCGAATGAAAATAATAATTAGAAAATTTATATTCCCATATATACATATATATTACATACAAGAATGAATTGCTAATTTTTATGATAACAATATATAATAATTTAATAAATTTTGATTAATATATATGTCCAGATAGTATAAAACAATATAAATAAGATCTTTACCATTGGTAAAATTTCTAAACTAATTGAGTTCCACTCTAGCAATCAATAAGTCCCGCATCCCGGATGGTCGCGAGCTGAACATTTATTTCAAGTACATTAAAAATAGATCAGCTTCGGTATTTCATTACCATCAATCAGACGGTTGACACGCGACGGCCCAATGTCAGGGTGAGCCAGCATCAGGCTTACTTTATAAATTATAACATCTCCCGGACACGCTGACAAGAGACACCTTGCATCCGCTTAACATTCGTAGTCACAAGACTTACATTCTGACAGTTGGAGGAAGTCATTATGTTTAGTTTGAGAAGCGAAATAAATAATGACGTGAATGAAACTAATATTATTTGGATATACTGCGCGTGCTTTATTTTTGAGAAAAACTACGTATTTCCAACGTTTCGGTTACTTTTTAACAACCATGATCACGGGTAGACGAGATGTGCTCACGTAATTGCTGAAAAGTTATGCATAGTATATACGAAAAATATTGGTTTCATTTAAATGAATAAAACTCGCGAAAGTTTGAGACCTTAAACCGTAATAATTTATAAATATATCATGTTTTGTAATTTTGTTAGTGAATAATACGAAAGGTGTGACTTAACAAAGTCCAAATATGTTGGCGTCACTATAAGGTCGCCCACGTGAATTGCTCGTCTTCAATAAATTACCACCTTTATTATACTTCTAATATTACATTTACCAAAATAGTTTTAAAGTTATACAACAAAGTATTTCTACTTTCACGGTTCAGTGGAGTTTGAGCGTCATTGGAACATGTTATTTTAGTTTAATAATAACCAAAGTCGAAACATGATGTACGAATATTGCAAAATTAGTATCATATGTAGGTAAAACGTATTTATGAACTATAGTTTTAACAGAATATATACAAGGGGCTATATCAAAGAAAATCAATGCGAAGATGCATTTACAAGCTCTATTTAAATTTGTGTACATCTAATGCCACTTCTGCCTGTCATTGTCTCGGGAAGTCATCACCAGTTAATGTCACCTACAACCGTAAGAGCGACCAAGAATCTCAGCAATTGGTATTTTAAAGTCAAATGATATACAATAAGTATAATTTTTGTAAGTAATATAGGATTTAGCATTTAAGTAGTAATTTTACAATACATAATGATATAATATAAAATTAAAAATTGCCTAGTCAAATATCAAAACAAAAATAATTCCGCGGAACAACAAAAGTTTTTGAAAAATCCAATAATAAAATCGATTAGCCACCGTCTAGAGTCATCAACAAAAACATCCTACCACTTGAAATATATATGTTTATCAAAACATAATAAGATCTCGTCAGCCCGTGATCACGGTTGCTGCAAAGTAACCGAAACGGCGGGAGTACGTAGTCTAAAAAATAAAAAGAACGCGAAGTAATCCGAAAATATTAGTTTTATTTATCAAAACATTCTTCAACTCTTAACGTTAATTTTTCAAGAGATTAAACTCAGGCACGTATTATTGGCAAATATATTTTTGAAAAAAAAATAACGTTATATAATATCTTTCAAGTCATTAATTACCTATCGATCATGTATCTTTTATATATTTGAAGTGATTTGTTTAACATATTTATAGTCTCATATAATAAAAATAAAATAACAATTAATAAGTAAGCAGTAGGACTCTTCTGTAATAATTAAAGTAATATGTATGTATTTTCTCTTTTCTCGTCTGTTTTATATTGAAACTAATCTAATTACGAATTTATTAATTCAAATAGGGGATCTTCTATGATTTGCTTATTAATTATTCGAGATATACAACTATTAGCCGATCTTTCAAAATATCTTGATACTAATATCAATATTTATCCTCTTATATAAATGTGTCACATTGTTATATTTATATTTCGGGAGCATTAAGATATTTTAAACTATATATTTGTTCCATCAGCGTGGTACTCCTCGAAATGTAAATTATAAATTAATAAGTAATAATTTACCCTATTGTCTTAATTAATTTAATTTCAGTTTTTACTTCGCAATTTTCGTATGTTTTAAATTAATACTAATCTTGTAATCGAATTAATTCATTCAAAAAATTCAAATGAATGATCTTCTATATTTTACTTATTAATTATTCGAAAGATACAAGTGTAAGCCGATTTTTATGAAATATATATTTTTCAAACACAGGTAAAATTAAAAGTCCTAAAGTATTTAAATTCCTATTAAAGAAATACAATACGTTCTTGTGTACTGAAGTCTTCAAAAACTATAGTTTGAATTCTTATTGACTGACATCTTAAAATAATATTATCCAATCAGTCAGCTTAGAAAGTTGCAAAGTATATATTGTGTGTAAAAGGTTAATAATAATTTAAATTCAATGTGAAAATCCATACTAAAATAGAATGCTATCAAAAAGTCCGTTGAGTTATAAAAGTGTGTTCGGTGATCCATAAACATATTGAATGTGCAAAGCAAAACTAAACTTTCAAGTTTACTGTCCAAGTTTCATCAGATGATCTATTTCAGTCTGGCCCAGAAACGTGTCGACGTCACTTGCGGCACAGTTTCCACTCACTCCAGCATCCCGGCCCGCCTGCCGCGGCCTAACGAGATGTCATCTTGTCGATTTTAATATATATCAAAATAAGCAGCTAATTGCGAATACGCCACATGTGAAACCAGACGGTAGAATTTTTAAATTCAGGTCATTTCTAATTTTACGTATGTTCAAGTTATCTTTAATGCTTTGCAAAGACAGTGTACAATATTGATTGGATAAATTTGTATCTTGATTCTTGACCTACCATTATAGGTTTTATTTAAGTATTGTATTGATTAATAGATATTTTTGTAGAGGATATAACTTAATTTGAGTACTTTATATTAGTAATCTAGAGGCAGGTCATTGTATCAGTGAAGTGGAAAGTTCCTGTACTTATATAAATGACACTTCTCCGAATCACCTTAGGTTTGGCTAGACGCCAGTGAAGCACTATTACATGCTCTTAAATCCTTCTGCTTTACTAACATCTATCTGTTTCTAGATAATATAATATATTCTCTCAATATCTATAGGTGTATTTATTTAGTATTCAATATTTTCCAAAAGTTTCGGAACAACATTATTACCAATAATCTTATAACTATTTTTTTAATTTTAAAGTTTGAACTATTAATCAAAAATTAGCTTCAATTCGGCTCGTTCTATTTTTGTGTCAATAGTAACCCAATACACAAATAACTTGGCGAAATAATTCAACTTATCAATTGGAATTGATACAAATTCGTGTGAGTCATGTGTTTATAGCGAGCAGGTGTTATATAACTATTATAAAATTGTCATTTATTTTCGTTTCCCATCTTAATACTAAAATAACTTGAGCTATAAATACTGATTCTTAACTGGGAAACACAATGAGCTTTTACGGACGAACACCAAAAGGTGGGTTGTGTATATATTTTGAATATGTGTATTTGTATGTATGCATGTAAGCGTAGGAGTGCATTAAAATTTTATATACAGTCTAAACAGGTAAAGGAACCATACTTTTAAATAAACTGTCTCCTATTATTTGGCAATTACATTTTTTCTTCTTTGTATTCGTATCATAATACGTTATCAAAGTTTTAGAAATATGAATTCGACTCTTAATAATATTAAAATCGTCAGGTAATCAAGTTCTGTGTCCATCAAACAAATAGAAAGTCAATAAATTGAATTGTCTTTATTAGATACATAGCTTTGCCTCTGTTATGTGATACAATGTATGAAAGCACAAAGATTTCAAAACCTTACAAGTATACAGACAGCAAGGGTAATAGGGATCACAACACTTATTTGGCGTATACAAACAACATATTGAACATTTTGGCCACAAGCGAGATATATACAATGACAGCGTGAATCTTCCTCGAACGTCTTCTCCGCTTCTTAATAATAATTATCAATAATAATACATTTTGTATGTGGGGACACTGAACACATAGTCCAGTGCTGGACCCCTCGACCGGAAAAAATGATTCTCGTATCTATAAACACGGCCTCTGTACCTGCATCAACAATTTATCTCATTACGTCACCATTGACGAGCATTCGATGATCAAATGATGATGACTGTTATATCGTGATGATGATGGAGTTAATACCACTCTTAGATAGCAGTGAGAGTAAGTAACAAGAAGACGCTAAAGTAACGTAACCGAGGGCATTGAACCCGTCTAAATATAAATTGTATCGTGCTCCATAGCATCGTGTAATAAAATGCATTCCACCAGTTTTCTATTTTCATTGGAAGTTGAAATGTTAATTTATAAAGGCCAAAGATCAAATGCCTCAGTTAATTTTCCTGTATTATTAGACAGGGATTCAATGGAAGAATTAAATATAACTCTTCAACCTTATCATATAGTATTATAAGGTAGTTTTGGTAACAATTTATTGAGTATTTTTTAAGGACTTCATATTCTTAAGTCTAAATTATATTTCGTCAATGACATGAATGACAATGAGGAAATTTTTTTTTGTACATATTAAAAGGTTAATAGTAACATATGTGTCAGTAGTGAGGTGTGTTTGTATGTTGTTAAAAAGCATAGCATCAGTTACACAAGACGTGCGTGCGTCGAGTTAAATATATATTTATGAACAGTACACTGCAATTAGGACACGATGTAAAGGAGCAAACGGTTTCAACAAACTCATTATATAGGTCAGAGTTTAAACAGTGATTTATGAATATTAAATGAATTAGACTCACTTTGATCCGCCGGCTACGGCTTTCGTGTCGAGAACCTCAACAATATCTCCAGCTTTTAGAGATACTTCGTCATCATTGGTCGCCGTGTAGTCTGATGTCGCGACCACAACATCGTCCACCTGAAACAAAACAGAAACAGTTCAATAACACGTTCATGTAATACTTTTATAATGAGTTGTTAGTACACGTTAAACGTTCATGTACCTTCGGCGGACTTCTACTACACGTGGACCTCGATCTCGTCAAAGATCTAGATTGATATCTCTTATAAGTCGGCGTATTTTCAAGATAACTAGAACGTCGCGAATTTTCTTTATCGATGTTAACACCGTTATGTCTTTTATATCCTCCCAATTTTGTTATTCTTTGATTTGTACTTATATTACAGTAGCCAGTAAATGTTTGGAGATCTTCGTCGTTATCGTCTAACACCGGACAGCTGTACATACTAAATCTATGTGCTGTTGGTTGACTTAAATTAAGAGCTGAAAATACATGTAATGGTTCGAAATGGCGTATTCCGTTTTCGTCTAATACTGTGTATGAGACTTGTCCAGTGAGCACGGCTCGACTCGCCTCCCTAGGGACGACTGCTTGTAATCCTTTTTTCATGATTAAAAGTGCCCCTCGGTGTTTTTTACGTTGAAATAAGAAGTCCTCCATCGCGAGACTGTTCTCTGGCTGTAGTAAACTTAATGGGACGTCCTCTGACGTCATCAAAGGAGGTTCTTCTGGAACAATCATAAGAGCTGCACTTTCCAAAACTAAATCTCTCAGTTTCGGATCGGTCCGTGCTAATGAAGGGTCCTTTTCGAGTTTCTCTAGGGTACTGTGAAGATTTGGTGTTTGTTCAGCCAGCTGTCGCATAACCGTTAATCGTTTTAAAACATCCATACATGTCTTGTCACTGGTGACATTATTTAAATGACTATCATCTATTAAAGCTGTTAATATTTTCTTTGACACATCATTCATTCCAAGGACTCTCGCGAGTCCTGCTGATTGTTCGATGATCACTTTAAGATTATCTTTATCTGAACCTTCAAGTATCGTTTCCAAGTTTTTGCTGCTCGTCTCCTGAACAGCTGATACGATAGCTTTTTGTAGCGTCTCTGCCGCTTCGTTGTCTGATTTGATGAATGAAATAGAGTCTGAAATTCGACTTAAAACATGCTGTAACAAACATGTATCATTTTTGGTGATGTTTTTGAAAGCGGGACCTATTACTTCACATTCAGAGCTTAAAAATTTGGCAAATCTATCAATAATCTGCTCTTCAGTAAATGGTTTCTTATCTGATATGCTACTAACAGCAATTTTAATTAATTCTACTTTTGAATAACTAGAATTTTCAAGTATTTCTTCACACAGTGTTTCCTTATCTTCTTCCGTTTGAAGAACTTTGAACATTGCAGAAACAAAATCTTCATCTATAGCTTTACCTAAAATTGTGTCAATTGATTTCAGAATATGATTGTATTTTTCTTTACTATTGTTATTATTAAACTCTTCGAATTGCTCCGCAGTAACGAGTGCGGCCAATACAGCAGCGGCAATAGAATTTTTAACCTTTTCTTGATGTATATTATGTTCGTTATCACCAGAAAAGTCATTGTCTTTTTGTATCTCTGAACGTTTTTTATTGCTACGTCCTTTTCTGTTTTCGGCTACTAAACCGTTATCTTTATTATTGACATGCATTTCTGATTTTAAATGAGCGCTCATTTCTATTATGGAAGTTATTACTTCCATCAATTGATTTGCTACGTCATCTTTTAATCCAAAATCTGTTACAAAAGCTTTTAATGCTTCAGCATTTTTGGTGTGGTTTAATACCACGTTTATGGCGGGCAGATCTGTAGGTACTTGTCTTCCAATGGACATTCCAGCTTCAGAAAGTTGCCTTAACATTTTTGTGTCAATGGTCAACTCTCCTTTTGTTGAAGTTGTGTCATTGGGATTAGTTTTAACTTTTAATAATTTCAATTCTTCAGGAGTAACAACGAAACTTTGTACTGAAAATTCGAGACCTTCTTCGCCTTCAATCAAATCAGGAGCTACAAATTTCAGTCCTTCCGGGGTTTGTACTATTTGCCCAGGTACAAAGGTTACACCTTGATCCTCAGTTTCTATTACTCTACCAGGAACAAAACGAGGACCTTCCTCAGTATCAACTACTTGACCGGGGACAAATCGCGAACCCTCATCCTCAGTAGATATAACTTGACCAGGAATAAAGGTAGGCCCAGCCTTCGTTTCAATAATTTGTCCAGGTACAAACCTAGGCCCATCAATAGTATGTATTGTCTGTCCTGGCACGAATTTGGGTCCAGTTTTAGTATTCACTACTTGACCAGGAACAAATTTGGGACCATCCACTGTGTCTACAACTTGACCAGGAACAAATTGTTCACCATTTTCTGTAAAAACAATTTGACCAGGTACGAAAATTCCTTCCACCATCATTCCTGGAACAAATCGTGACTGGTTTTCTTCATTCTTTACCAGACGGCCAGGAACAACTTTTCCTTCACATTTTGGAATTTTGGACCCTGGATAAAATTCTATACCTGTAGGTGTTTGCACCATGTGGCCGAAAACATATAAAGATTCTTCGGATAGTGAACATGTCTTAATATCAATAGGTAATCCCATTGGCATACTTTCCGTAAAAGTAATATCTTCAATTGACTTTGCAATCGAAAATTCAACGTTACCATTTCCCTGTACAATAGTTTTTCCGGGTACAAACTTTTCGCCACAATCTGAACTCATAATTTGACCTTCAATAAACTTTGGCCCTTCAATAGTGTCCACAGTAGTACCGGGAATAAATTCTAACCCATTTTTATTCATTCTTGTAATTCCAGGAACAAAAGTTGTTTCACCATTTACTTCAACTGTTTGGCCGGGTACGAATTTAAGTCCGTTCGGCGTTGACAATGTTGCACCGGGCACGAAATGTAATTCGTCATCATGATGAATTGCTTGACCGGGTACGAACTGCCACTCGTTATTAATTTTGGCGTTTTGACCTGGAGTAAAAATTATGTTATCATTTTCAGATATTGTTTGGCCGGGTATAAATTGAACTCCATCAGGAGTCATTATGGTTTGTCCTGGTACGAATAACTCTTCAGATCCATTATTTATAATTTTTCCAGGAACGAATTTCAAACCTTCCTCACTTATAACAGTTTGGCCTTCGGTAAATCTATATGAGTCATCTTTGTTTTTTATTGTTTGTCCGCAAACAAATTCTTCGCCATTAATTGTTTGTAACACTTGACCGGCTAAGAAGAATGGCTCACAAGTATTTTCATTGTCTACAATATGTCCTGGAATAAGTCCAGGTCCAGCTGGAGTATTCACTGTTAGCCCCGGAACAAATAATGGTCCTAAAGGTGTTTCTACTGTCTGTCCTGGTACAAACACCGGTCCTTGTGGTGTATTTATATGCTGACCAGGTATAAATTTCTTTGCTTTATCTATATCTAACGTAAGCCCTGATATTTTTGCAACTCTCTCCCTTTTCCCTTTCCGTATACCCTTCACAACCTCTGGTAAATTCTCGAGAGTAGGAAGCATATCTATTTTATCGACTTCCAATAACCTTTCTGCTATATTTGCAGTCTCTGTTAATCGTTCTGACGGTAAATTTGCAACTGCGTTAATTACTGCTTCAGAAGGTTTAGTTTTTATCGGCTTTAAAGGATTAACACAGGGCACATTCTCTAAGAAAACGGACACATCACTAATATTTTTATCGACTTCATAAATTTCGGAATCACAATGATGAGGTGTAATCTGTATGGGCGATGGCAATTTAGTAATTTTAGAATTAAACTTTTCACCAGTCATTTGGTTTTCAAATAACTCCCAGTCCCACGATTCAGGAAGGGGTTGCATTTGATCCTTCCATTCGCCACTGCACGAAACTATACTTGATTTGGAACGCATATGATGTAAGTCGAATTTTTCACAAGAATACGTCTTAATATCATGTTTTTCGTGCTTGAAATCTTCAAGTTTAGCTTTTTTAGCCAAACGTTCTTGACGCATTTTAATCTCCTCAAATTCCTGCACTTCCTCTAATTTTTCTTTATTTTCAAATATTTTCTTCATCGAGGATAGCCCTGCAGCTCGTTTCCTTTTCTTTTTTCTCTCTTCTAATTCTTCAGCTTCTCTCTGTCTCAAGACCTCCGCGTTCGGTCCCTCACCTTCATAGATTTCGACATCCTCAGTAAAATCTTTAAAATCCATGGAAACACTACGTCCTTGTTTTGTTTTAATGAGGACTGTATCTGAATCTTTCGCCAACATTACATCTCTAACATCACCGTCCCTCACTGCTGCCTCCAAACGAGCAGAAAAAACTAAACTACACCTTCTCTCGTCGACAGTGTACACATAACGCTTTTCATCGGCAACTTGTTTAGTGAGAAGCATATCCATTAAATATCGCTGAGCTTCAGTCGAACCATCCAGAACAGGGAATATATATCGATAGTCTGGTAAAATTTCATGTTTTCTATTTCCATAATTTATTTCAGGTGAATAATGATGGGGTCCGAGTTCACCAGACACATTTGTTATTTTACATTTCGTTTTAGTTGAACGAGTTGTGAGTAAGACTGGAATGTAATGATGAGAAGGCAGCCCATACGATTTCCCGGTTATCCTGCAGCATCGTTTCGCATCAGCGGGAGAGATCGGTGCAAGGAGTGGAAAGTAATTAGGCTTGGGTAAGCCTCGACTGCGTCCCGTTATTCTACAGAAAGACATCTCGGTACGTCACAATCACGTCTTCATAACATTATTTGTTTACAAACTTATATCGAACCGGCTTAAAACACGAACTCTAAAATATAATATCGGTATTTTTGTCTTCGGTTATGTGCGCGTGCGTCTGTGTCGGAGGCTCAGAAGCGACTGTGGGAGCGATGCCGCCGCCCTGAGTTTTAGGCGTTTTGTTTCGCACCTTTCAGTGAGACGGTGAGTAGCGGCTTCGTTACGGTTAAAAGCTATTTATATCATAAGGAGAAACGTATTTGTTTTTGCAAAAATATGACACAATTTTGATCGAAAATATAAATATGTTAACAAACAAGTTATGATTATACGAACTTGTGGTAATCAAAACGTAATTGTAAGAATAACGTTATCATAATTTTTTAGAAGACGAATACATTATATTTTGAACAAAACCGTCAGAAATATTATAATTAATTTAGTCTTAGCTGAATAAAGAAATATTAAATATATATTACTTTATAATATTATATCCTTTTGGATTTATTATACATATGAAGAAAATTGAAACGTACTAAAAATGATTTCATAGCTTCCTGAAAATTTCATTTCAAACAAAGCCATTGTTCAGAGACAATAAATTAAAAATAATCTTTGTGTTAAGGTGGGATTACAATAAATAACTTTGACACTCAGTAGGACATTCGCCAAAATTAACAAACGCATGTCGCTTATAAATACACAATAAACAAATTCAAGTAATGAATTAGAAATTATGTTCAGATTATGATATATAGCTTGCATGTATTCTGGATCAGCCTAATGCGTTTTCCTTGCAAGCAAGGTCATGCCGGCTGAAAACGAGAACGGACTATTTAGAAACTGTAATTCGATGTCATATGTTCATGAAAAATGTCAATGAGAACAGTCTTATTATAAATATATGATGGAAGTTCATCAACCGTGAAGTGTCGGGCTCCGGAGAGTCTTGAGAGAAATTAACGACGACCTCGGAGATCATTTGTAATCTCTTGGGACCTTCAAGATGCAAGTGACCGCGAACTACAGTTATTTTTGCGTTGACTTTTACCAGCTCGAGAAAGTTCCAACGATTTTCGTATTACTTTAATTATTTTAGGTATAAAACAAAACGTTACATTTAATAAACCGTCAGGAGAAGTTAAGTTGTCGATAGATAGCGCATTTTTATAAGTTATTATTTTCCTTAAACATTATCTATCAAATGTTTCAGTTATAGATATCTGTATACAAACAATCTCCTGAATATTATTTGTCACAGAAAATACTATTATTTATACTGAACATAAATTATTTAAAATTTTAATTCATAATTTTTTAAATATCGATCTAGTATTAACATTACTATATTTTGACTTATATTATTATAATATTTATTAAATATGTACGTTTACTTATATTATAAATGCTAAAGTTTATAAGCTGTATGGAAATTTGTGATGAAGTTACAGTATTGTGCATTAAACTGGAATAAGAAAGGTTTAACTTGTATTAAAAAAAAGAAGAAAACAGACAGAATAATAAACCACAAGTTTTCTTATCTCCGTAGAAAAATATATCAATAAAATTAAATTATTCCAGCAACTTACGTCTTATGTTTAAGAGACATGTTGCTACATAAATTACAGACGTGTTCACCTTCAGGTGAGCAAAAAAAATTCTTTGGAAGCCATCACATCCTCTCATCCCATCCAGTGATTCTATTTTAAATACTTTTTATATTTCTTATTAATTCACACGCTGACTCAGTTGTCACACGAACAGAGTACTTAATAACTTGACAACGGACTCGTGAACGTCCTTGTCATCGTTATAACTATATCTTTTAAAAGTTTCTTTAAAAAAAGGAATCATCGAAATGATTTATTACTATACGTTTAATACTATATTAAATATATTTTTTGTATACGTGAATTTTTGATGTTAAAACATGTATGTATGTAGAACAAAGGTATCATTACAAAGTTTTCTTCGAGAAAGATTATGGATCATTGCTGCTGTGGTAATAAGTATTTTTTGAATCAAATATAATAGTCTGATAGGTAGGTAACAGGATGGTATCAAAAATTAATACAACATTTTCCTCGATTACAGAACTAATATGTTTACGCGTGTTTAATGACTTCTTCGGAAAATCGGACGGTGTGCAAAAAAGATGAACATTTTCATTATCACAAAACTCCGTTATGACTCATCACGATTTTCCACTAACGAAGATTTGGGAAAATTTTTGGGATGATGACATATACCGGAATGACTTGTTCATTATAAGAAAAGAATATTTGATGACCAACATTGAACTCAGGTGAACGAGAAAAGTCTGTACAAAAACTATCATAGTTTTTTAATGTATTAATAAAAATAGGAATGAAGTGTAATATTAGAACTTGGAAGCAATGTAATTTAGTGTACAAACAGCATATTTCTGTATTGTTTGAAGTCAACGACACTATAATGATTACAACAGTTTGATTAGCGTCTTAATGATCATCTTTATTGGTCTCTAATGATTATCGTGTCGCGTTCACCAACTTTGATGATGAAACAAACACTGCTCAGCATCAAACGAAATGAAAAACACTCGATTGTAACGCCCGACGTATGTACGTCTGTTCCAAATAAATAAAAGACTCCTTTGAACGATATAATCTATCAAATTGGATGAATTTCAAAAAGAAAGCCACAAATATAGATTCTATAAAATCTAGTGCGCCTATTTAAAATTTTCTAGGAATTCAGAAAACATTTTATATTTTCTTTTGTTTTGTTTGCAAACTTGTTTTACAGGCGGAAATAAATGTATGTACACAGAAAAATAAAATTAACAAATTGTTTTGACAACATTACAAAGAATGAAATAGGTTTTTTTATACAAAATTTCTGGGTGATTTTTATCGGAGTGGAACTGATTATAACATAAAAGAAAGCTATGTTTCTTTTTTGTTTATAGAAATAATAGAGTGTAAACTTATCAAGAAACTAAACGGAATATGTACGATTGTTTAGAAAAATCTTTATTTATTGAGGGGTTGGTGCCAACTTAGTGAAGTCTTGTTATAATAATTCATGATTAATTCAATAACAAATATCTGAATCTTGGTTCTAACGCCTGCGTTAATCAAAAATAACATTTCGTTGACTGAACATCAATCATCATAAAAAAGCCGATGCATCGAGACGTGGCGTGTATTGGGCCGCATCCAAAATTATTATAAGCCCTTTGATTTGTCATTAACACTCAGAAGACTATACAGGCAGAAATGACAGGTGTCTGATCGTGGTGCATGGAAGAACAAGTGCAGTTATAGGTTCTAATATATACCATTATCACAACATAAGTAGCACCACTGAGGATATTAAAAGAATATTTGAACTAAATTTTCATAAATAATAAAATGAAATAAACGGTCAAACAGCTTATTATAACAAATTTAGAAAATTTCTTTACAAATACTATAAAATAGTAGTTCTTTTTAACTAATGTTTTTTAACTACATTCATATCAGATACTAAGATACTACATATTTGTCTAAATATAATCTAGGATCCATTTCATATCTTTTGGGTGCAATTCTATTTAAAACTTTCCCTTGTTGGACATCCTAAATGTATTTGAAAATAAACGAAATATTGCCCTTCGATTGAAATTCATGTTTGACGCAATCAAAGTACGAGCAACAAGAAGGCAGGTCAGGTGAGTGCTCTCAAAGGAAACCAAAAATAAACAAACTCCAGTTCCGAGCCCACGTCAGGATAAATATTTTAATGCGACACAAGTAAATGATGTTACTTTCAAGACTGTGGTCGCATTTCTCTTAATTTGTTTATGGATTTATAGCTCGTCCTACATATTACGTTTTGTTTTGAAATATTCCTGTGACAATATGCTTTATGGGACTCATTATTTTGTCCACTTCTCTGTGATGTAAATGTCGCTGTTTTAAGGATTGATATCAAATCATTCTATGAAACTGATAAGTCTTTCTAGAAAATTCGTTTGTATTTCCCAGACAAAACAAAACTATTAATACAAAAGGTCAATAAGTTACAAAATGGTTTTATTTCTAGAACGTATTTATTATTAGTAAACTAGTTCAGGGCCGCGCTCACTTGTAATAATATGCGATTTTCTGAGAAACACGAGTGTAGCTGCTAACACAACGGAAACGTCTCGGGTGCTTTGAGATTAGCTTTGATTACTAGCAGAGAGGGAGTGCTGGTCGACGGAAATGAGAACCGATAACAAAACATTGCTACCAATACGACTGTACGAGTATGCAACGCGACTTATTTCAATGCCAATATATTTTAAGTTTTCCTTGTCAATTGTCGAGACAAGAAGACGGTTTTATAATTATTTAAATGTAATAAATCAGACATACTCTCGGTTTTAAATAAGCACAGTAGTAATATTATATGTTATGGCATGTAGCAGCTCGATACAGCTGTAACTGTGATATAAGGACTGAATCTTCCGCAGTTTCAGCACTTGCAGCATCTGTTGATATGTTTTTTAATCCCATAATATAGTACAATTTATAAATAAATAAATAAGTGATATTTAAAAGGAGGCAGATTTATTTTCTCAGTAGTGTATCTATAATGTTATTATAGATATTTATTTTTCTGAGTGTTATTCTTTTATAGAAATCAGTACATAAATATAAGTTGATATTTACTACCTAAAATGAGTATTTGAATACTACATTAATTATATCGTGTCTAAACAATTATAGGATTTCAACTAAGGCAGTAAAATGAGAAACTCATCAGTTGGACAATAGTATCTATATCAATATATATAAAAATGAAATGCTGTTCGTTAGTCTCACGAAAACTCGAGAACGGTTGAACGGATTTGTCTTGAAATGTTCGTGGAGGTTCAGGGAAGGTTTAAAAGCTGAAAAAATTTTATTCATTTCCGGGAAAACCTTAAAACCAGCCCTTTTCTATTTCCCATACAAACGGTTTTTTGACATTAGATTTGACAACTA